AGAAACTACCTCAGCTTGTTTTGCACAACTTGGATGATAATTCGAATGGCAAAACTCACAGGTCAAGGAAAATTTTACACTTTTCTTGCAATGTTTACAGAATTTTTCTTCAGCAAGGTTATTCACTAGTCAAAATACACACTAAAATTTGTGAGAATTCGCAAAATATTTATGCTACATTAATCAATACGTTACAGGATTCATTTTACACTATTTACATAATATTTTATTTGCCTACAACTGAGAAAATTACGATTTTAATTAGAGATTTTTTTTTCAAACTCACATGCAGTGTTGCCATATACACGTAGTTATAATAGATTTAATAAATAATTCATATATGGTTATAATTTCGGTTAGAATGATTCAATCAAAATTTCTTTTAAGATCCTAAGGACAATTGATTATTTGAACACAAAACTGAAAAATAAAGATTCACTAGAAATAAAAACTAATGTTGCTCACCAGGGGTTAACCACTCGCGAAAAAACGTACAGGATTTCCAGTTTCTGGGAATAATTGAACAGTATTCCCAAGTTTTTCCCCTCGTATTCCCCTTAACAAGTGATAGCAGTTTGGATTTCAATCAATGGTTAGTGAGTGATTACAGTTAATAATATTGCATTGGGCATGTTTAACCGTAAGAGAAAGATGTTGTGAAGGTAACCCAGGTTTGTTCTTAGCTTGGAAATTCAAGTGATGGAAACAGAGGCAACTGGAACGTATATGATGTGGCCAACTGGACCAATATATTCCGTTCCACCTGCCTGAAATTATCATTGTATTACATATTCTCGATTGTCCCAGAGCAAATATGTTCAGAAATTATATCCGTAGAACCTCCAAAAGTGCGGACTTTATGAAATTATATAGTATGTCCCAGTTTCCTTTCGACTGTATCATATTGCCACTATTTATGTCATTACCCAATTTCATGTGTGTTCAGCCGTATCTCGTTCCTCACAATATCTATAGTCCGACAAATACCATTTTAAAGTCACGTGATACTGGTGGCAAAAAACGTATGTCCATTGATTATGTCGTTGATATCACCTACAAAAAGCTACTGGTGGTTAATTACTATTGAATTTTAATATATGTCCCCACTAGCATTTTACAAACGCGTTTCTGAAGTAGTATTGACCAATCAGAGGGCAATTTTAATACTTGCAATTGTTGCGAGACTCACTTTTGTCGCATCTGCTGTCTGTTGTAATACATTCTGAACTTAAACTGGGTACCCGTTTTCTATTTGCTTCTTTTCGAGTTGGAAAAAGGTTAATATAGTCAAAATTATTAGCTGTGTTTGTTCGTTGTATTATTTTCGAAAATAACTTTGACAAACTAATTGATGACAATGACGGATTCTATTTCAGGTAAGAATATTATGAACAATAATTAGACAGCAATTTTTTTGTCAATTTTACTATCACCGCTGTTTGAGATGTATTCAACAATGATAGAGAAAAATCATGTGACTTTAAAATGGTATTTGTTGGACTATACATATCTATCTGTTTGTATTCACATTTACACCATTCTCCTATATCTGGTATCAATTTCTTCGTTCGTTGTAATATCACTCCATCTGGCTTGCCATCTCTCCATTGTTCTACCTTTCGCATCTTCTCTCGTCTCTTTAAGGCATCCTGTTCCAGTTTGGTATATTTCCTCTCTTTATTTTATGGCTAGGTCAATGGTAGGGTTTCATCAAGACGAGAAATCTTGACTTGGACGTAATTTCTTGACTTGACTTGAAATTCAAGATCAAGAAATTGAACATGTCTTGACTCGATGGGTTCTTGAAAGCAAAAGTCTTGCCTTGAATTGAAGATATCTTGAAACTTGAAATTACTTGAAAAGAAGCTATCTTTGTTTTTCGCTGCTTCAATAGTGTCGGAGCTGCAAAGATTTTTGTCAGGATGAGACAGCAGAAGTAAATTTTAAATGTTTTTCTTAAATTTTGATCTTTCCTCTATCCACTTGCAAAATTTCAATCCAATCCCTCAAACATTTTCCTTAAAAAAAAAAAACGTCCCTCAATGTAATTTTTTGGAAATTTGGATTTTCCCAAAATATCACCAACACACATTTTGTCTTACAACTTTGTTAATTTCAATCCGATATCAACTTAATTAACCTTTAATTAAAGCCAGTTAAATTCTCTACAAATTTCCAGTTAATAATTTCAATCCACCTTTATTAGTTTTGCTGCTGCGAAGCTTCAAATTCTTCTGACTATGATCATCTGGAGTTCAAACGAACGCTTTGGTCCGTAGTTGGGTTCGGCTTTTTCACTCCGTCGTTCTATTGGAAAGGTTACTGCGCACTGAGTATTTTCGTGTCTTTTTCTACCCGCTTGTATAGGAACGAGATATCCTCATACATAATATGAGAGTATGGGATCCTGATCATAGCCGTAGGCTATTATTGCAGTCTGCAACTTGTATTTTAATATACTATCACAACCACTCATAAAACTGTTAGTTTCAAGAAAGTCAAGAATTTCTTGAATTTCTTGGCTTCTAGACAAGAAATCTTGATCTGGAAATAGGGAATCTTGATTTGACTTGAAAACAGTTTCAGATTTCTTGACTTGAAATTTTCTTGAATTGAAGTCAAGAACAAGAAATTTCTTGAACATTTAAAATATATTTGCTCCCTATTCCTTTTTCCGCTTAGAATTACCGCTTCAGTCTTTTCCGGTGCCAGTTTCATGTGGTTTTCCTGCATCCATATCTTCACCATCTCCAGTGCCCCATCCATTCTCGCTACATAAGCTGTTCCCTATTTTTGGCTACTGCCACCAGCGCCAAGTCATCTGCATAGCCCACTGCCTCTATACCATCTTCGTAATCTATCGAGAGGACGGGGTCATAGAAAACCTTGTAGAAAACGTTCCATAGAAGCGGCCCCAGTCCAGTACAGATCCCTGTGATATTCCCGCTTTCAAAACTCTAGTGTCTCCCTCTGTCTTTATAGCTCGATTCGTGAAGTAGTTCCTAATGATATTCTGTAGATATTGGTCCACTTTCCGGCGATGCAGTGCTCTCAGAATTATTGCCCAGGACGCAGTATTGAACGCATTTCTTACGTCTAGAGTTACCATTGCACACCATCTTTCTCCTACTCCTCCAGTCCTCATTCTCATTACTATATCTGTGATATGTTTCAACGCCTGTATTGTCGATTTTCCTTTTTAAAAGCCATATTGGTTTCTGGCTATTGGGCATTTTTCCTCCAGTTCTGTTATTAGCCTAGCTTTTATCATCTGCTCAAATAACTTTGCAGTCGCATTTGTCAGGCAAGTGGTCTGTGAGACCCTGGATCTTCTATGGGTTTTCCTGGCTTTGGGATGAGTATCAGTTTGGATAGTCGTAGTCGTAGGGACAACTTGCTGAGCCAGAAGGTCATCCAGAAGTTCCAGAACTGGTTTTGGTGCAAACTTGACCAGCCCTTCAACCACCTCATGCGGACTTCCGTCTGGGCCAGGGGTCTTCCCTGGTTTCAACCTCTGAGTTGCATTCTTCATTTCCTCTATAGTGAAATCTCCTGGAGTTGCAGTCGGCATTCTCTCTGGTAGAAAGTCCTCTCTGTTAGGGAAAAGGTACTCTATTTCTCCCCAAAAGTGCGGAATGGTGCTTCCGTTTTCTATGACATCCCAAGATCCACAATAAGACTCTTTGTATTTGAAACAAAAAGGCAAGGTATATTGTCGGTAGAAGGATGAGGTGGTGGAGGAATATATGAATGAAGTAGAAGAAGAACTGTCAACTTTGCTGCACACCATGCAGAAATGGAGTTATGGATTACTTACAAAGAAAATAGGCTTATTATTTTATTTTCTGCTCATTTTACCATTTTTATTAAACAATATCTATTCACCACTAAGTAATACTTTTGTAGCATCTCTCCTAATTCTCAAGCAAATCAGTTCAATCAATCAATCTTTATTTACATATACGTTACAATATGTTCCAGTCGCCTCAGAATTATCACTATGTGGATACATAAAAAAATAGGGGTCACTGTTTCAGTTGCCTCAAAATTAGGGTAACTGGAACCGTGGACCAAAAAAAATTGGAACACTTAACCAGAACAAAGTGAAACAATGAACCAGAACAAACATGCACGCATTTCTTGAGATTTTAATGAAAATGCCCAAAAATACGTTAAAAGTCGGGTTGGAAGGTATAAAAATTTACAAATACTCCCAAATTATTTCCATGTACTTCCAGAGTATTCCCATATACTTCCAGCATATTCCCAAGGATTTCCAAGAATTCCTAGGTATTTCCAGAGTATTACCAAGTATTCTTAGGTATTCCCAAAGTATTCCCAGCAAAGTGTACTGTGATTTCCATGAGTGATTTACCCCTCGGTTGCTTTTGAACCTTCCGGTATAAATTGTGATAAAACTTAAGGCCAAACTTCTAAAACTATTAAAAACAGAATGTCAGGACATTAAAGCAACATAAGATTGCTGAACGAACCCAGTTCCAAAGACTATCGCTAAACATTCCAATTATTCAAGCGCTAATAATTTTTTTGTTTAGATATTTCTTTTGTATTGCTATCTCCCAATTATTCTTTCATTAGAACATTTATCTTAATTTTCATTTAACTCGTATTTAACAGATATCCAGCTATAAATATCATTCCCCAATTCGCCTCGACTCCCCCTTATGATATTAAGTTACAGTATCGGATCGAAATTCCCTTCCAACAGGATTCGTCAATATTTTCCGGAAGTGGCGCTGATGATCCGGACCGACACCAACCAAAGCTTGTCGGCGAATACTTATCAAGCAAGGCGCCTCCTGTCCCTGTCCTTCGTTTCTTTTTTGTTTTGAAGCGCGGACGTGCGTGCGCTCAACCACAACGTTGCGAAATTTACAAATTGTAGCAGATACTGCTCTACTTTTACTGTTGCTTTATGTTTGACAATTTACTAACAAAAAATAATCCAGACCTCTAATTGCGTATTTCTTTTATTCCAGGTCTAAGAGTCCCTTCATCAAATTTCTCAATAAACGATGTCAGAGTGAGCGTGGGTTCTCGAAGACTTCTCGACGTCATGGATGTCAACACTCAAAAAAACAGCGAAATGACGATGAAAGAATGGCAGAAGTATTACGAGGACCCTGCAAAAACTCGCTTATTGAACGTTATATCTTTAGAATTCTCTCACACAAAGTTAGAGAACTATGTCCAAGGTCCTGCCGTTGTCCGACAAGTCGATTGGGTGGATTGTGTATGGCCGAGGCATTTAAAAGAAAGCCAAACTGAAGCTACTAACTTGTTGGAAGATATGAAATATCCGAAAGTCCAAAAATATTGTTTAATGTCAGTTAAAGGATGCTATACGGATTTTCATGTAGATTTTGGTGGCACCTCCGTGTGGTATCATATTTTAAAAGGCGGCAAAGTGTTTTGGTTGATACCTCCCACAGAACACAATATGGATCTCTACGAGCGATGGTGCCTTTCTGGTAAACAATCTGATATATTTTTTGGGGACACTGTTGATAAATGCGCCAGAATCGTTCTACAAGCTGGTCAGACATTTTTCATTCCCACTGGATGGATTCATGCAGTTTACACTCCGTTAGATTCCTTAGTATTTGGCGGAAACTTTTTACATTCTTTCGGAATTGAAAAGCAACTGAAAGTAGCGCAAGTTGAAGATACAACAAAAGTTCCTCAAAAATTCCGCTACCCATTTTTCACCGAGATGCTTTGGTACGTTCTGGAACGTTACGTTCATTGCCTTTTGGGTAATTCTCATCTGGCTACTGGACAAGATGCCCCAATACCACCGGACAGGCCTCATATACATTTAACTCAGGCTGAATTACACGGCCTAAAAGTAAGTAGATTGTTTTCAAAGAAACATTTTATATTATAGAATTATTTTTGTTTAGGATATTGTCCGGTACCTTCACATGTTACCTTCACACAAAAAAAATCTTCCAGACTTGATCAGGGATCCTATTGCACTAATTCAAGATGTCAGGACGTTAATAGGTCTACACAGGCAAGATGTTAGAGAATTGGCTATCACAAATAGACCAATTTTGAGCTGTAAGTCTTATACTGCTGTATACGTGCAGACTGTGATAAATTTTGTTTTCTATAGTGCCCCCAGAAGAAAGAAAAAGAAACATCCACAAGCCAAATAATACAAATAACAATTTAGTGAAACCCAATAGACCTCCTGGAAGTTTCAAGGGACCAAAGAGCTCCCCAGGTTCTGCCCCTGGTGATAAAGGGGGACCTCGGAGACGAAGGACAAGGTAAAATGTTAAAATATTTTATTCTAAAATTAACTTTTATCAATAAATTCTAGATGTAAAAAATGTTCAGCGTGTCAGAGAGCAGATTGTGGTGAATGTACCTTCTGTTTGGACATGGTCAAATTCGGTGGGCCAGGTAGGGCGAAACAAACTTGCAATATGAGACAGTGTTTGCAGCCAATGTTGCCAGTAACTGCTGCCTGTGCAAGGTAGGTTGCTGTAATTTTATAGGGCAAAACTTGATTTCGAAATATTTATAGGTGCGGCCTGGATGGTTGGATGCAAACCCCAGTGGCTCCTTTGCAAAAAGGACCTCAGAGATGTGATACAGCCAGTACTCTTATGGAATGTTCGGTAGAGATTTTGAGAATTCATTAAGTAATTTTTGATTTAAATTACGCATTTCCTAGGTCTGCTACGAGATTGCCCATCCACAATGCATTCAACGATTGTGTCAAGATTTCAGCGGCTTTATAAACGAGGATATGCCCAATTCATGGGAATGCCCTTTGTGTTGTAAATTAGGAAAGAATACTGATTATAGGCCCCGACATTTCCGAGCCAGGCAGAAATCTTCTGATATAAGGTAAACCTAATTGTTATAATATGGGTGATTTGAACTTCCTCTATTTATTTGTCTGTTTGAAGGGTTTTCATTATTAGCTTCAAACAGGTGTTTGCTTGCATGCTGCTTTTGCACTAAAAATCACTTATGCTTTGTCTATTTAAGGCTTTCCATAGTAAATTTATAAGTATTACACAGGTGTTTTAAAACATCTTCCTGCTTAATTCATTTCATTCCATCTAATCACACTTTTATACACAACTGTCACCAACACTGTTTGAAACATTACATACACATACAAAATTCACCACAATATCTAAACATTATATTAATTTTGTGTCCTTATTTGAGTGTGGAAAGTTTCGTATGTTCAAGGATTAGGGAGACCAAAAGAAGAGAAACAATTTATGATATATGTAAATTTCACATTCTTTACTGGTTTGAAGGTTCGAAAATGTCACTTTTGTTTACTTCAAATACTTCAAAGCAGGCCGAAAGTGACTGTCCTTCTGTCATTTTCGGCCTGGAGAACTCAGTTTCGGCCCTGATAAATTGTCCCTTAGAGCAGGTAAAGGTGAAGAGGAGTAGTAACCTAGATTTGGAAAATGGCGCTTATGGCAATTCAATGCTTTACCTGTATCTTGGTGCCAAACACCTGCCAAAAACTTGGCTTCATTTTAGTTTCATAAGCAGAATGGCACGTTCCTACTCCTTATGTCCGTAGGACAGCACTTTCCTGCTCTAAGAATTGTCCTTCCACACCTAAACACAAATTCAGGTGCAATGTTTGTATTTAGAACTAGATGTTACATGTGTTTATATTGAAATTTCCTAAGATGTCAATTTCGGTGTTAGACTGTCAGTTGAAATTCAATTTTTGAATTTTTTTTACCTTACCAGCCGAGAGTAATAGTTATTTATGCAACAAGTGTGTGAAGTGAACCTTTTTTCACGAATGTGAGTGAAAAAAGGTGCTTTACACACGTATTGCATACAAAATTTTTTCTACTACCAATCAAATATGTGTGAAAAAATAGATTTAGGCAAATACTTTACGAACTAGTGCGTGAGGTATTTTCACCTTACGCACTAATTTACCAGAAAAATACTAGTGACTTGTGTCAACATCTGTCATTGACATTACTTTACGCACCAGTGTGTGAAGTGAATTACTTTACGCACTAGTGCGTAAAGTGGAATTTTACGTCTTCTGAATAGTGTGTAAAGTTAGTACTTTACACACGGTAGTAGAAAATAGTTATTTATGCAACAAGTGTGTAAAGCGAACCTTTTTTCACAAATGTGAATTTTGACGCACGAGCCGAAGGCGAGTGCGACAATCACATGAGTGAAAAAAGGTGCTTTACGCACGTATTGCATACAAATTTTTTTCTACTACTAATCAAATATGTGTAAAAAAATAGATTTAGACAAACACTTTACGCACTAGTGCGTAAGTATTTTCACTTTACGCACTAGGGCGTGAAGTAATTTACCAGAAAAAAACTAAATTGACAGTGTCGACATCTGTCATTGACATTACTTTACGCACTAGTGTGTGAAGTGAATTACTTCACGCCCTAGTGCGTGAAGTGTAATTTTACGCCTTCTAAAAAGTGCGTAAAGTGAGCACTTTACGCACGGTATTAGAAAAAGTATTTTTAATGCTTATAACTTTTAAACCAGGTGTGCTAGCTACCTGCAGTTTGAGCCATTCAATTTCTTTTGGCCTAAAGTTTTTTTAGTAGGTTGAAATTTTTTTTGAAACATACAGGGCTAATAAAAAAAATCCGTTTTTCAACATCGAAATTCTCCACTATTTTCAATGGAACACCCTGTATATCACAACGTCAAAAAAAAGATACATGTTTAACGGTCATTTGCACCGCTATAACTTAAGGGGTATTTAATCCAAGTGGAGCTTTGAATGTGACTCTCGTAGAAACAAAAGTCACATTCAAAAGCTCTACTTAAATCAAATATCCCTTAATATCCCTTAAGTGATAGCGGTGCAAATGGACATAAGATATCCATATACCAATAGATATCTTCCCTAAAACTTGAAGTTTTAGCCGTGAGAAATCAAAATCGAATGCATGTTGTAGGTACTTGATATCACTATGGCAAACAATTTCGTAACTGTGTAGTTAGATATCAATTAGCCTAAAATATATTTTCCAAGAAAATTAAACGAGTTCCAGAGAATTTTCTCTGGAAATCGTTAAATAGAGATACATAAACAGTAACAGTTTGGTGTGCAATATCTATTGAGAAAAAATATAGACCATTTTCATTGACGATTCAACGATAACAGAAAATATATAAACTGATATGTTAGGAGTAGGACAGAAGCGTATCTTGAATGATATCTATTTTCAGCAGGATGGTGCCCTCACCTCATTATACTTTAATAGTAAAGGAATGACTAGATATGACATTTGGGGAAAGACACATAATGGAGAGCTGGTCCTATAGGATGAACTGGACACCTTACTCTCCCGACTTCAGAGTTTCAGACTTTTTTCTCTGGGGTTATGTCAAGGAAAGATGCTGTAATCCTTTGCTCAAATAGCCTGGAAGATGTTAAACGGAACATTTGTAATGTCATTGTAGCGATTCCCCAGGAAAAGTTACACAATTCATTCAACCATTCACTGATCCATAAATGCCTGGAACAGAAACGCTAACATATACATATGCAGCATTTTGTATAGTTTTATGCAATTTTTATTAGGCAAACATAAGTTTCAAACTTTGTAAATAGTCGCTGGCAAAAATTCCAAGATTTCGATTTTGATTTTTTTTCGAATAAAACTTCAAGTTTTAGGGACGATGTCTATTCCTACATGGATACCTCGAACATGATTTTTTTTTTGACGTTGTGATATACAGGGTGTTCTATTAAAAATAGTGGCGAATTTCAATGTTGAAAAATGTACTTTTTTTCATTCGCTCTGTATGAGTTTCAAAAAAATGTGCAACCTACTAACAAAAACCTTAGGCCAAGAGAATTCGAATGGCGTAAACCGCAGGTAGCTAGCACACCTGGTTCAAAAGTTATAAGCATTTAAAATTGGTCACTCTCGGCTGGGACACCCTGTATTTTATTCAATAATCAATGGTTCAAAATAAAATAGTATACATAATTCGGTGGAAAGTTTTCATATTATTGTCTTGAGAATTGGTTGGAAACCAGAGTATCTCTCGACAATGATGAAACACTTTCTACCTCCGCATGTAATATATTATGTATTTCTGCAATGTTTCGGACAATCATTGATCCTTTCTCGAGCCCTAACATAGGTACAAAATAATTACAAACGTACCATAACAAAATTTCGAAAATAACCATGTAGATAACCATGTAGGTACACATAGAAAATGCTACCAGAATTTAGGATGTGAGAATATAGCTTGTTTAAGTCAAGATCAAATTGTTAGGTCTAATTGAAAACAAAACAAATCAGCAATAAAGGATAAATTAATCAAAAAAACATGAATGAAAGAGCCTTTTTCCTAACTGTAGGGACTCCAGAGTCAATGAATAGTGTTCGTGTAAATATACAGGGATCCCCATAACAACTTTGCAACTTTTGAAATGGGGCAGCATAAATGCCACAAATGCGATTTGGTATGTCAGTTTAAGGAAGAAAAAGGAAAACTTTTCGGGTTTCCGTGTGATTTTTGTAAAATGGTAGTGTGTGCATCAAATTGCAAGCTTAAGAAATTTGTTGCGTTCCAAGCCAATCAAGAGCCATGATATTTCTGTGCCCGGATTGTTGTTTGAAGGCGATTCCAAAAATGAAAGAAGATCTCACTAAGGCTCAACAGGAAATAGAACTCTAAAGGAAGACTTATCTAAAACCTACGATGATTCAAAAAAAATATCTAAAAATACAATGAAGCTGAAGACTGATATAGAATCTTGTAAGGTCTTATTGGAAACACAGCAGTGGAAGAAAATGGCATGTATATAAAAAGCGATCAAACGCCTCTGCAGCGAAAATACCTTGAAGAAGTCATTGAAAAATTGGAAGAAGAAAAAAGAAGGGGTAAGGAAAATTTGAGAATCAAATATATAAGGGGAGTTCCCACTCTTATAACAGAAAAGCCAAAAACCTAAATATGCAGAGATCGGATGGGGTAGTTGAAATTTCACTTTGGTATACTAATATGTGTTCGCTAGTCAATAAGGTAGATGAGGTCAAGATAAACGTTCAAAAATTAAATCCAACCGTCATAATGTTAACTGAAACATGGTTACATGATAATATAAATAATAGCCTAATTAATCTCGATGGATATATCCTATATCGAAGTGACCGAGCAGATCAAAAGGGAGGTGGTGTCTGCATATATATTAAGACGTATCAATAATACCAATATACGTTTGGCATGCATTTATAGACTTGACCAAACTTCGGAAGCTGTCAATTTACAAGCAAGATTAAAGAAGTTTTTTCTACCCAAGTACCCACTCTAATCATGGGCGATTTTAACTACCCCAATATAAACTGGAATAATGGCTCGCTAGAAGTTGGTGATAAGAAATCTCAAGATGTATTAAGAAATAAACGCATATCAATTAATAACATTTCCAACGAGATTTAGAGACAATTTATCTCTTCTTGACCTTCTTCTATGCAATACAAAAAACTCTGTCTATGACATAAAAAATCCACCAGTTGGAAAAAGTGATCATTTAGTATTTACAGGCAAATAGTAAATAAAAACGATTATTAAACCAACTCAAAATATACTCAGGCGTAACTTCTAGACTGCAGATTACAATGGTATTAATAATCACTTGCAAGAACAATTCCAAAATGTCACACCAACTACAATGCCCGCTAACGCTATACAGGTCTGACAATCCAGCATCTTACAGGTCAATTTTAATGCAATAGAATGAAATATATAGGAAAAATCTGAGGTTAAATAGAGAACGAAAACGATTTCCCCTGTTCCACCTCCAGCATGCAGCGCTGAGAACGCTGGAGGTTGAACAGGGGAAATCGTTTCCGTTCTCTATTCAACCTTAGTTTTTTTCTCGACATCTCATTCTATTGCATTTAAATTGGTATGTAAGATGTTCACTTGCCAGACCGGTATACAGCGATATTGAAAATATTTTAAACTCTACAATGGATAAGTTCATTTCAAACGTTTCCGTAAAAGTCAATTCGCAGAAATCATCAATCAATCAGCATATCTTCAAGGATATCAATAAAAAGAGAAAGCTTTGGCATAAATATGTCAACCACAGAACAGTGGAAAATTATCAGACCTACAGAATTCAGTGTAACAAATTAAAGCAAAAAATTGCAGAAGCACGACAGAAATTTGAAAATGGAATAGCAACAAATGGCACATCAAAGCAATTCTTTAAATATGTAACAAGAAGCATCAACTCTAGAGTATCATCTATATCGATAGAGGACGATAATAATGCATTAATAACTGATCCAAAAGATATGGGGGAACACTTTGCTATGCAATTTAGCAAAGTATTTAGCTTAGACCCGATCATGAGACCAACTTTGTCAGATGATTTGGGAGTAACTAATATGTTGGACAAGATAGAATTTACAGAAGAAAAAGTAAACAGGGCTTTAAGTGAAATGAAAAGTCAGAATCCAGTCCAGGTCCAGATGGATTTCCAACAATATTCCTACAAAAGTGCAAAGCCACTATTGGCAACCATGTTTCAGGATTATTTCAACAATGTATGGATTCGGGAAAAATTCCAGAAATATGGAAACATGCAACGCTGACTCCACTTTATAAGAAGGATGACAGACATATCGCAGAAAATTATAGACCCATCAGCTTGACCTGTAATCCTTGCAAATGTCTAGAAAAAATTGTTGCTACTGAAATGACCGACTTCCTACTTACCAAGAAAGTTCTACCAAATTCACAACATGGCTTCATTTCAAAGCATTCAACAATAACGAACCTTCTAAGCTGCGTTGATAATTGGACCAAAGCTCATGAAAAAAGGCAACCGACAGATGTAATATACCTGGATTTTGAGAAAGTGTTTGATAAAGTACCTCATTCATTGTTGCTCTATAAGCTTGAACATTTTGCTGAGAGAGGCCAGCTTCTTGCTCTAATCAACGACTTTCTCACCAACCGCTTCTCAGATTAGGGGCAATGGTATTTTGTTTGATAAAAATCCGGTTATGAGTGGGGTCTCTCAAGGGTCTGTTTTAGGACCATTACTGTTTCTGGTTTTTGTTAGCGATTTGTCATGGAACATTGAGACAAATATCATTTTCTTTGCTGATGATACCAAGGTGTTCTGTAATCCATTGTTGTAAAGGGACTGCTTGAATAGGGATCTAAGGCGAATTGAAATGTGGACGGACCAGTGGTGCATGAGGCTCAATGCTTAAAAATGTACAATACTGCATATTGGTCCGAATAATCCACATGAAGCATACTTCCTAAATAATGTTCAACAACTAGCGTTGCTGAGCAAACGGATCTGAGCGTGCTGATTTCTTATGATTTGAAATGGGAGCCTCATATAAATAGGATAGTGAAAAAGGCCAATAATCACTTCCAAGAAAGAATTCCCTCACCAATCGGATTGTGTACCTGTGGAACTCACTTGAAGAAAGTACAGTATCCGCAAATAGTGTAAACTCTTTTAAAAACTCTGTTGACCGTTATTTAGAGCAAACAGCCCAGAATTTTGTACATTACGGTGCCTCAAAGTGCGTTTTTTTTTTTTTTTTTCGAAATGTATTCGGATCTGTGAGGTATCCACCATAACAATGTGCTCCATAATCGCCACGAACAATAGCTTCATCGGATTTTCCGCTTGCTATTGATGAACAATAATAACAATAACAATAACAATTTAAGTCTGAGTAAGTTGACAAAAAATTTTGTTTTCAAAGATTTGTTTAGTGTATGTTTGTAATCATTCTGTAGCTATGTGCCCTATTTGTCCCTTCTAGGTCTCGAGAAAGGATAAATGAATGTCGGAAACGTTGCCGAACACTAGATAGTTTCTTTTCTGTTGATCTCCTAGTCTTTAAACCCACAAAACTTTTTTTAAATAATATATTTTTTTTCTTTTAGAAATATGGACTGGGCAAATGTTGATGACACAAACAAACTTCATTGTTTTTGTATATGAATTTTTTTTCGACTAAAATGTTTTTTCCAGTTTTTCTATTTTTATTTATTATGGATTTGTCTCTTTAGACATGGTTCCCCTGAACTTGAATCACTTTCAATGTTAGTCAATATTGAGCTCCTTATTGGCTAATGAATAGTCGCATATCACTATTTTCATCAATTTTCAGGAAGAAACGAGGACGGAAGCGACATAATCGGATTCGGCAACCCGACTCGTAACTTAACACTTGCCATAGTCCATTGTCATTGGCATTCACCCTTATCCTACCATTTATATGGGGGATTTAAGGTCATTTAACGCTTAGTTTGTTAACATTTTTCTGTGTTATTTATTTAGAATCATAATTTTAGTTTTTTCGTTTTGTGTTAAAATTACATCTATTTAGCTTAGTTATTACAGAAAGGTGGCGGTGTTTTTTTGTTGTTCATCCTACCATTTATATATGTGATATAATAGTTATTTTTGTATCAAGGGCGCGAAATGCTACTTTGGTGATCGAGATCTGATTTTTTTAGCGAGGCGCAGCCGAGTTAAAAAAAATAGTCGTGATCACCAAAGTATTTCGCGCCCGAGTTGCAAACAATATTTTTTCTACAACTCCATTTAAATATCAATCATTCGAAGCCAAAATTGCATTTTCAATCAAAGATAGGTGAATTTTAATTATTTTTGATTTCCTGATAGGTATGTGTCACCATGACACCCAGTGTGCGAACTAGTTATTTCGCGCACACGTGCGCGAAATATCTAGTTCGCGCACGGCGTCATGGGAACGTTAAAAAATCAATACCTGGGAAAAAAAGTGTCACTTCGCAAACTGTCATGAGTGTGCGAACATCATCATTTTTTGACAGTTGTAGAAAAAGTATTTTTTTGTAGGTGCACCTTTCTGCATGATTTGTTTAGCATTTCAGCTTTTCTGTGTTATTTAATTAATTAACTTTTAGTTTGTATCTGTATAAAATTACAAAACTATTTCTTTATAATTTTTGTGATGTTATAAACTTTTGTTTGCCTATGTTTGTCACTAATAGTCTTTGCATACCTAGTTAGTTTTGCTTTTTTTTTGTATTTATGCTTTATAAATAGTGTCTCAACTCTTTTTTGTATACTTATATTATAAGGGGCGATTTTGAAAAATGCACCAGAGAGGCGTCATGTTTACACTATTAGTACTAGCCAGCAACTGAAGTCATAGGTACTTCATGCAGCCTTATTTGTGTGGGACGGAATCGCTTTCATCTACTACCACTACTTACCTTCATCTTTAAAAATATCTCTTCGGCTTGCTTACTAATACAATATACCTGATAGGCTTAAATCTATTTTAAGTGAAGAAACCTATTCTTATGCATTTGAGCTAATTCTTATTTTTTGGCCAATGAGATATTTATTTTTGCTAGGTAGATAAAAACGCCATCAATGAGTGGGTAACTTTGTTTTTGGGCTGTAATCGTAGCCAACTTTCCTAGGCTCAAACTTCAATGATCAATAGGGATTTTTCTTCAGAAGAAATCAAACAGTATATTTTTTTCAGGATCAATTTGCATTGTTCTAATATCTAAGGGAGAAAATTTTCTTTAAAAATGTTACTTTTCTTATTGCTCAAAACTCGCTAGTTCTAATTTTTATTGTTCTAATATACAAATCGTTTATCTTTAGTTTGTACATTTTATTTCACAACAGTGTAAATATCCCATTAACATTTATCAGCTTTTTTAATACTTGCATGGTTGAGCCTTTTGCTAAGGCCTAGTACGCAAGACTCATTACAGTTAACCTAAGCACAAGCTTTAAACTTATTTTGTCTCAAAAACAACAAACCTCTTACAATTCCTTGTTCTAGAAGAATCAGCATAAGTTCGGACGCATCCAGTGCGTTCGATAACAAAATCCAACCAGAACATTCGGATTCTGGTAGCGAAAATGACCAAAAAGAAACCAAACTTCAGGTAGGGTTTATACTAAACTCCTTTTATATTTTTAAAATAATGTATTCTTTATATAGGAATTGTTACCAATCAAAAAACGAAGATCCAGCGAAAATTCTGAATTAGATACCAAATTAGCTCCACCTCCAACAACAAATGATGGACATAGAAAGACTGCCTTTAGGATGCAACTTGCGCAACAAATTGCTTGTAATAGTACAAAGGTAACTTGGCTTCATCAATTTGAAACAAAAATCTATTAATTTTTTTTTCAGGTCCTAAAAAAACCTATAGTAGTTGTAAGACCCGCCCCCCTTATGATGCTAAACCCAATAGTACCTACAAACAATTTAGTCCTAGATAAGCGAGTTATGTTAAGCGTATTCAAGTACTTAACTTCTAAAGAACTTCTAAACTGCGCTCTGGTTTGTAAAACCTGGGCAACATACTCTATAGATCCGTCCCTATGGAAGCGTATGGAATTCGACCACAAAAAGATCTCAAGCGATATGCTTAAGGGTACGGTGCGCAGGCAACCCGAAATTTTAAGCCTTAACTGGTGCAGGATTAATCATTTCCAACTTCCATGGTTGATCCAGAGGCTGAACAATTTGAAACAGCTTTATTTGGAGAGTATCGATGTGAAAAGTGCAATTTCTCTGAGGACCAATCATTCGGCGATTTTGCAAGTTTTGGATTTGAGTTTTATTTCGGATTTCAATGATTCTGCTTTGAGAGAAATTTTAGGTAAGAATTTTTTTTTGGTATCTCTAGTTATTTTTGCAGTCGTAAGGTAAAATGGGAAAGGATATAGAATATAGTTTTTGTACAAGGAGGGGTTTTTAAAATAATATTCTTTTTTCAAAAGCGCCTAATTTTGAGAATTGAAGAAGACATTATGGCAGAACCAAGACACAGGCTTTCTATGAAAAAACCTGTCATTAACCAGAAGAAAAACTACCCAAATATTGATTATTGAGTGTAAAATAAATAAAAAATGTGTGCTCTGGATCATTGAAACCAAGCGTTTCCAGACGCATGTTTATAGAATATTCTTTTCCAGAACCTGGCAAAAGCTTTGATTAGAGCTTTTGATACACAGGTCCTCAATTATTCAGACGAGAATCACTTATGTAATGTGGAGTGGATTTTTCAAGTTTTCAGCCGTTTTTTTTTTTTTCAAAGATTTCGGTTTCAAATCTCACAATTTAGTGTATGGAGTATGAGAGGTCCCAAATGATTATTAAAACACAAAATCTCGACATACAAAAATTTGATATTTCATCATTTTAGTAGGTGCTAAGGGAGGGGTCTTTTGATTCGGATTTCCAAAATCTTTGAAAAAAACAATTTAAATTCTGTTATAGATATAGAGCTGAAATTTTTAGTAAATCTTATTCTAATAGAGGACTACAATCGCTAAAAATTTCTCTCATTTGGACATATGGGGCGCAGAACTAAGAAAAACATTTTCCAGGTAAAATGTCAAAAACAAGAAGCGATAACGAGATGGGGTTTGTTGCGGGATAATAAGATTTTTTTGAAGTTTTTTTTCACAGTATTGCCGAATCCTGAAATTTGCTGAAATTTGAATTTACAGACATGCGATTTTTTGAAATAAAATTACTGCCTTATTTTCAATGAAACACTCTGTATATTTTGTCATAGTCAGAAAGCCTGATATTTCTACTTTACAAAAATGTATATTTTTCTAAAATTATCTTGAAATCACAGTGTAAAAATGGAAAAATTAAAACTTCTAGGATTTATTGAGTAGGGTCTTTGCATCAAACAAAACAAACCGCTAATGGATCTCAGGCTCAGAAATGGAATTATGAGTTTGTTCTCACTTAGACCTTAGACCAAAAAAAATCATGTGAACTTTCTATTAAATCACTTTTGAAAGCGTCTGAAAAATACTTCAAGCAATCAGGGGGACTTCAAATTTTCGGAATTTGCAGAGTCTTAGTAGACAACAAGAATTAAAATAGAAAAATAAAAGTTTACTCAACAACATGACAAGATGGCAAACATTACTTACAATAAAATTATTTCTTATCACTAAATATCACATTAAAAATTAATAGGTACAGGAACTTTGTTTAGGGAGTTAAGCTCTCTTTTAAAGTCTTTACGAGTATTAGAAAAGTCCAGGGTATTGAACTCATTGGAGATTTGGGAAGCTCTGAAGATAAAAGTGTTCGAGCCATAGTTAGTCCGGTGGATCTTTTCTGAGAAGGTAATGGAAGAACATGTGGTTCTTCCTGGGGCATGAAGATCAATTTTGGATAGTAGGTATATGGAATTGTCGTGAGAGTTCAGTATTTTGAAGAATGTTGATAAATCCCTTCGATTTCGTCTGGCGGCTAAGGGTTGTAGGTTGAAGCGTCGGTAGAGGTCCTCATAGTTGTAGATATAATCTTCGGGAGGAGGAATACCTGCCTTGAAGGCCAAGTACGATGTAAATTTATGCTGCACCTGGTCCAAGGCGTTGATATGGAGAGAATACATAGGTGACCAAACCAAGGAGCAGTACTACAGGATGGGCTTTATCATTGTGCATCAGAGAAGCCTGATGGAAGAGATGTTAGTGAAGTCCCTTGAACACCTTTTAACAAAGCCCAGCAGTTTCAGAGACCTGGTAGCGATATCCGAAATGTGGCTGGAGAAGCTCAACGTGTTATCCAAAATGACACCGAGATCACGTTGTTGGGACACTGTTTAAAGTGGTTCATTACTTATCTGATAAACAAATTGTATGGGGCTTTGACTTTTGGAGAAAACGATAGTTTTTCATTTAGAGGCATTGAGTTCCATGCCACTTGTGACACACCATGCGGAAAGTCTATCCAAGTAAGATTGTAGTCTGGCACAGTCTTTGTGGGAGGAGACTCGGGCGAATATCTTCAAGTCATCGGCAAAACACAGAAACTCATATTAATGAAACAAGAACCAATATCGTTGATGAAAATATTGAATAGCAGGGGTCCCAGTCATTGGTCCCAGGTGAGATCCTTGTGGTACCCCTGAGGGGATGTCAATGGGCTGTGAGCAGAAGTTGATGATCTTGACGGTTTGGGTTCTGTTCCTAAGGTATTCGCTGATCGACGCAAGCAGCGTACCAGAAATTCCAATTCACTCAAGCCTCCCATGTAAGATGTTGTGGTTGACACGGTCGAAAGCTTTAGCAAAATCGGTATATATGGAGTGAACAACTCCACCGCTTTCAAGAATCCCTGAGATTTTATCCCGGTACGTCAAGAAGTTAGTTTCGGTTGAGCACTTTGGCCGGAAACCTTCTTGTTGATGATAGGAGTTAGGAATTTAGTTACTATATTCTCAAAGACCTTAGGGATAGTGTTAAGGATACTGATACGCTTATATTTGGTAATATCTATTTTGTCACCGGTCTTATGGATGGGCGTGATGAAACTCCGCTTCCACATCTCAGGAAATACCCCACTACTAAGTGATTCATTGAACAAAATAAACAAAGGACGAGATAGTATAGTATAAAGCTACACCTACTGAGGGGGGTGCTATCTGGCCAGGTCCACGAAAGATCCTTAGCTTCCACAGTTCCTCGTGAATAACTGAGATGGCGATTCCAAAGTTATGAATCTGAGTGTTACTATCAGAAATGCTTTGGCCAATAACACATGCTTTGTTTGAGTATACAGAATGAAAGTATGCACCGAAGAGATTAGCTAGTTCACATCCAGTTTTGGCGAATTTACCGTCATAGAACATGCAAGAAGGGAGTCCATAAGTCTGTTGTCTAGCATTGACAAAATTCCACAAATGTTTTAGATTTTTATCCCTAAGCAATGACACCTTTGAGCATATTACATAATTTGTATAGCAGTCTTCGGAAAGAGTCTTACACTGAGCCTGAAGGTGTGAAAATTCAACATAGTCTGCAGGTCAACCTGTCTGCTTCCAAGTTCTGTGGGCACTTTTCTTCTTAATTATTAGGTCCTTCAATTCAAGGGAGAACCATCGTGGAAATTTATGGCTTGAGAGCTTCTTCTTTGGTGCACAACAATCGATAGCCGTCCGTATAGAGAATATCATAGAAAATCCTGGTCATTTCCGTCACATTGAGACCCGAGTAAGTTATCCCAGCGAACTATCCCAAGGTTATCGTTGAGGAGTGTGTAATCAGCAGACTCAAAATCATAATAGTACGCGTTGCAGGTGGCAAAAAGTAAAGCAGGACGATATGCATCAATGGGGAGGATAATATCATTAGCTAAGAGGCAAGTATCCTTGGGGTCCTGGGTGAAAACCAGATCAACTAGAGGGACCATTAAATAATGCATTTATCTGGAACAGGTTGTGGAAGCGCTCATATTGGATAAACGTTCGGTGGCTTCACGCTCTGAGTTTAAGGAAGACTGAGCAGCAACAGCTGCAGAACTGAGACTGTCACTACCCCATTGTGCCTTGGGTCACCAAAAATGCAAAGTTTGTAATTTGGGAATGTATCCGATAAAGTTTCCACTGAGTCCGAAAAACATCTGTAATCATTGCTATTGGATCTAGGTGGTAGGTGAACTGCACCAAGCAATAATTTTCTATTCCCCGAGTGCACCCTGATGAATAATTGTTCAATAGTCCTGTGTGAGTCGCAGATTGAGCTAAAAATACCCTTTTGAATTGCTATCAATACACCTCCCCCTCTGGTGGCAGTGCTGGAGGAAGTTGAACGAATACACCAAGAGACGTTATATTTCTCCATACCCAGTTCAGCATCATAATAGAACTAGCCAATGTATTTAATTTGGTACGCAAACCGCGCACATTCTGATAATAGACTGTTATAGAACTATTCAGATTGTTTATAACTCCTAATTGTCGGCTAGGTCCCGGAAATCCTGGGTCCCATCGTGTCTGGTTATATTTGATTTCCTCGGCGCGATCTTTGAGCATTATGTTTATTTTGTTCAAGGAATCATCAATGGACTGAACATTTTGGTGAATAATGTTCGATACATTTAGACTGATCATGAAAAAGCCTCAGATGCTGCTTCATTGGGTTTCTGGTTTACTTGATTGTGTTCAGTATAGTTAGTATGCTGACAGAGTCTTTCAATCAATACGTCGTAGGTACGCTAGGCAGAAAGAGCTTCGAGCTGAATGATTATCTTGAAGCAATCCCAGTTTTTTACAGTTAGCGCACTTCATATTTTCTATAGAACAGTTTCTTGTGTGGTGGGACTCTCCACATTTGAAACAACAGTCTTTCCCATTGCAATACTTAGCTATATGGCTAAAAGCGCAGCATCTAAAACACATAGCGACATTAATACCCCTGTGTATAAACTTTCATCAGGTCGAAGGTCAGGTGATCATTTCTTATGAGCCATTTGAAAATGTCTGGTTTCGTGTGAATTATCCAGTTTTCGTTTTGCTTGTTGCGACATTCTCCCTTTGTTATTATTTTAATTTGCGATTTTACATCTTTCCCAAAAGTCTCTGTCAGGCCTATGTTTTTTGCCATAAGTTCATTCAGGAATTCTTCAGGTGTAAATCCCTTTAAAATCCCATTAATTATAAGCATAGGATCCGCTGTCTGACTATTTTTCACTTCAAAATTCTTATCCTTCAGATCATGAGCTAATTTTTGTTGCTGTGCTTCATTTTGACACTCTATCAAAACCGCTCCACTTTTTAACTGTGTTAGATTTTTAAAACTTCTATTGTCATCGGTTTTGTTGAAGCTTTTTTTGATTTCTTGTAAAACTTGTCTCGGGTTTTGTTGGTCTTTAATCCGTATTACTGTTTCTTTTTTTTTTAGTTTGTGTTGGGGTTGTCCAAACATCATTCTTTTTATTTTGTTTTGTGGCTGAACTATGACTACTAATTGCATTTTCAGGTTTCTGGGAATGATTATTATCCATAGTTATAGGTTTTTTTTCAGTTACTTGTATTTGGCTTATTTTATTTTGCATTAACTCTTTGATATAACTATTTTCGTTTTCCAATTGTCCCATTCGATACCCAAGCAGAGTTATGCCCTGAATAGCTTTGAATATTGATTTCTGAGCCTCATTGTGATGTTTTATTGCTAGTGCACTACTACCGCCATCTTTCATCAAGACTAATTAATTGTATTGTGTTTAGGGACGCCAGTATATTTCCTAAGATGCTCTCAGTGTTGTTATGGTTGGTATTTGATCTGTTATTTGCATCATGACTATAATGCTCTGTGACGACTTCAAAATCACTGCGTTCTTCCATAATCGTTGGACTTGAATCCATTCTGGGCCTTTTTTGTCTATTTTTTTGTTCGCCCTGATTTTCTTGGGGAATTCTTAATGATGGATTTTTAAAAATATAATAGTTGCCTTTGTTTGGTTTTGTACCTGCATTCTTTTCCAATTCTCGTAGAATGGCATCTTCAGATCCAACGTTGGAGCCAATGTTTTGACAAACTACAATTGGCAAGTGTGTCTCCTCCACACGATGGGGTGAATTTCTAGTTCCAAAGTTTGTGCAAAATTATTACATCATTTAGAGCATTTCTATTCTTGTATCCCTGATGTTTGGGATTCCATAATATAGGATGTTTCTCGTACAGTTGAATGAATTCAAGAATAAGTTCATTCTTCCACTCCATTATTAATCTACAATCTAAAATGAGAAAAATATAGGTATAGCAAAATAAACTTGTGAGTTGTGTAGGCGTGTGACGAACGATGGTTCCAACGTTGGAAGTTCCTTTGACGCGGGTTCGCGGGTAAATTTTACCGACATGAGCCCGAACATGTCATGTGGCCAACGTTGAACACATGCAATTCCCAAGTGCACGCCCACACGGTGTGTCAAATGGCGATGTGTTCAACGTTGGAAGGCCTTTGGCACATCGTGTGGGACCAGCTTTATCGACCTTATATTTTTGCTCGCTCTGAATACCGACAATTTTGTTGATTTCTTCTGTCGATATAGATCCTAATGAATATTGTCGATATTTTCGAGGACTTGCGTCATAGTTAGAACCATCACTATTGCCCTGCATTATCACCACAGACTAATTCAGAGTTCAAGACACTTTTTTTTACTTTATAATACCATAATATTCACTAAAAACGGTGGAATAGTAGAAGCGGTTTCAAAACACGTCCGTCGTACGAGACATTCGGACACCAATTATGATTTTTTTCTCACTTAGATGCAAAAAAATTAAGTAAAATTTCTATCAAATCACCTTTGGAAACATCCGAAAAATACTTAAATCTTTTAATCAAACAAAACAAACCGCCAGTGGATGAATTTTTTTCTCAGTTGAATGCAATAAAGTAATGTAAAATGTCTATTAAATCATCTTCGGAAGCTGCTGAAAAACCCTTCAAGCAATTAGAGGGACTTCAAATTTTCAGGATTTATTGAGTAGGGTCTTTTTATTAAACAGAACAAATTGCGAATGGACCTGAGGCTCAGAAATGAAATTATGAATTTTTTCTCACTTGATGCAAAAAAATCGATATTTAATTTGTGTTGAATACTTTTATCAACTAATTAAAAAAATATATAATTTTTTGTGGAAGTAGAAAAATAAGGCTTTCTGACGACGAGAAAATATACAAGGTTGTTTCATTAAAAATAAAGCATTTCAAAAAATCGCATGACTTTTAAACCAAATTTCATCAAATTTTAGGATTCGGCAATACTGTGAAAAAAAACTATTCTTCTAGAACAAACCGCATCTCATTATCTTTTCTCGTTTTAGAGATATTTACTTGCAAAATTTGCCACTTTATCTAAGGACACCCTGTATTTCAATGAGATTGTCCATAGCCTAATTTTAGAAAAAAACACAGAAACAGATATCTTTATATAAAATAAGATAAAATTAGTATTTTAATACAAAATACACAAAATCTAAAAATTTTAAATAAATAATTAAAAATAAATTAACCTATTTATAATTAAATTAAAAAATAAATTAAATTAATTAATAAACAAACCTATAGCCGTAAATTATTAATTTTACTTGTACTAAAAATAATTAACTAAAGAAAAATAGACTATGTCTGTGGTCACGGAGAAAGCCAACGCTCCTTATTCATTTTTTTTTTTATTCATTTATTTACGTATAAGAAAAATACATTTGAAGTTGAACAGAGTTTAAATCTAAAAAAAAAAAATCTAACCTAAAACAATTCTCCTGGCCTTCGTCTTAAATTTATCCAGAGATAAACCAAAGAACTCAAGGCCCTCACAGAACTTATTTACATTGGCAGATATTCTATTCACAGGACTGAATAGTAGGTACCAGGTTTGACAGTAAGGAATGTGCAGTAAAGATTTACTTCGTGTCTGATAACTTTGAATGTGTAGATTAAAACATTCAAGACATTCGTGGCTTTTTATGTAGTAGTTAAGAATTTTAAATGCAAAACAGACATCAAAATATTCCCTTCTGCGAACAAGAGTAGATAAGTCTAAATAAGTCATAGTCAGGTCATCACACCACTCAAAGAAAGTTTGTACCTTGCAAACTTAATAAATTTGTGTTGAACACTCTCAAGCCTATTGATGTGGATCTGATAGTAAGATGACCAAACTATGCATGAAAATTCAAGAACGGACCTGACCAGTGATGTGTAAAGAATTTTGATAGGGCGTATACTTGTAAAGTCCCTAGTAGCTCTCTTAATAAACCCCAACATTTTATTAGCCCTGCCAATTACCACTTCAAAATGCTCAGTGAACATTAGCCTAGTATCTAGATAGACACCAAGATCTTTAATGATAGAAACTTCAGACAAGCGAACATTGTTTAAGTAATACTGCAAGGGAACACTATGGGTGCGTCTACTGAATCTTATACAACAGCATTTATCGATGTTGAGGGACATGTAATTAAGCTGACACCAATCGTGAACGATGTTAAGATCATTTTGCAAAATAAGTATGTCTTGAGTTGACGTCACCTGACGATACAACTTCAAGTCATCAGCAAAAAGTAAAAAATTTGACGAGAGCAACGATCCTAAATCGTTGATAAATAAGCTGAATAGAAGGGGGCCCAAGTGAGAACCTTGGGGTACCCCAGAGGATGCATGGAAAAGAGATGAAAGATAGCCATCGATCTTGACTTGTTGCATTCTGTTAGTAAGGTATGATTTCATCCATGAAAATAAATGTCCAGAAACGCCGAAACTTGAAAGCTTTGAAAGAAGGATGTTGTGATTTACCTTATCAAAGGCTTTACTGAAGTCAGTATATATTGCATGAGTTTCTGCATTATTAGCAAATGATGAATTTATGAATGTTGTAAAGAGAAACAGGTTCGTCTCAACGGATCTACCGGCTGTAAAACCGTGCTGTTGACTGATCACAATCTGATGAAATATTTTTGAAAGAATTCCTTCCACGCACTGCTCAAATAATTTTGGAATCGCAGACAGAATGCTGATGGGTCTGTAATTTATTACATCATTTTTGCTGCCTGACTTGTAAATAGGACAAACGTAGGAGAGCTTCCACATTTCTGGAAAAATTCCAGAAGATAATGATTTGTTGAAAATATTAAACAGAGGAAGATACAAAGTGTTAGAACAAGATTTTAGTACTTTGTTGGGAATACCATCAGGTCCTGCAGACTTGTTGATGTCCAATTGCGTTAAAGCCCTCTCAATATCTGTTGGATCTATGACAATGCTTGAAACATTCTCAAATCGATCAGCAAAGGTTCCAGCGTCGGAATTTCTCTGAGGGTTATAGACGGAGGAGAAATAGACAGCAAAAAGATTAGCTATGTCAACACCGTTGGACGCCTTTTCTGAGGCAAGAAACATTTCGTTAGGAACAGTACCCTGATTAGATTGGGAGTGAATAAAGTTCTAAAAAATTTTCATATTGGTGCCTATGGCTCTTTCAGTATCACTTATGTATAACTTATAGCACGCACTCTTTGGTGAGGTTTTTACAATCTCGCCGAAGTGTACTAAATGCAAAGTAATCCAAACCACTATTCGACCGCTTGAATCGTTTGTGAGCAATTTTCTTTTGAAAAATCAGATTTTTCAATTCGTTAGAGAACCAGATAGGAAATTTCTTGCTGTAAGAATGTGCCTTTATTGGAACAAACATATTAAAGCAGTCGAACAGTACCAAGTAAAAGCTCTTAACAGCTTCGTTCAGATCGTCCATCATAATGGATCGCCAATCAAAGGAAAGAAAATATTCATTAACTAAATCAAAATTGGCATTTTTAAAGTCATAAGAAAAATAATTAAGAGGCTTCAGAAATTTAGCTTTAACAACAGGTATGGAAAACTCTAGAGCTGGGTGATAACGATCACATCCCACCAGACCGTCAGATGTTACAAGTGAAATAGGCCCAAAGTTGGCAAAACATAGATCCAGGATTGAACCATGATCGTTAGCCACCCCATTGTATTGAGACAGATTAAGAGAAGCAGTACTATCGCATAACAATATTTCCTTAGTTGTCCTTACATTTCCAGGTAATAAACCCGAGAGATCCTCACTAGTGGACCACGTTATTTGGGAAAGATTATAATCTCCAAGAACAAGGCAATGGCATAGAAAAGCAAATCGGATCTCTCTTTCAGTGTGCCTTCTAATTGTTTGTTATTCTGTGATTTTGTATAATATAACGCCCTGTATAATTAATCAATCTAAACGACTGTTTTTTTTTTAGGAACAAACAACGACGCACGTTCCGGCCTAGCAGGCGACAAAATCCGTTTCCGTAACCTGAAAACCCTTATACTAGCAGGAACCGACATTACCGACATCGCCATGCGCTACGTCACCCAATATCTTCCGAACGTTCAGCATTTGAGTCTGAGCATGTGCCCCAGAATATCCGATGCGGGTATCGCTCAGCTCAGTACGAAACCAGCCAATACGTTAACTAATTTGATAAGTCTGGACTTGAGCCACGGCAAGTTGGTCACCGAGGCGAGTCTCGATCATTTGTCCAAGTGCGAAAAGTTGACTAGGTTGGATTGCAGACAGGCCCTAAATATTTCTACTCAGGCTTTGATTAAGTTTGCTGCTAAAAGTAAACACGATTTGCAAGTGAGAGAAATTAAATTGGTTGATATTAGGCTAAAATCCAATTGAACGTAATTATTTATGGAAGAATTTGACACCGTGTGTTCTCTAAGCTAAATCAATAAGCAGCTGTTAATAATCAATATTCCAAATTAATACCTTTTTTTATCAACAGTTGGTGTAGCATGGCAATTTTTATTTTTCTTATTAATTTACTGCTTCTTTTTTCAAGAAATCGCTTTTAGATTTGTTTCAATACTTGTTTCATCCACATTGTGGTGATAAGAATAACTACTGTTTTGATTAAGAAACGGAAGCACTTTATACGAGAGTAGATAGTAAAAGACTGTAATTACTAGCTAAAAATTCATGTTAATATCTTTAGAATATTTAACAATAAAAAAGGCGAAAATTTTTAGTATCAATAATTATTGGAGTTTTGGTGCCTAAACTATTAGATATAAATAAATTTTTTTGAATGAAATTAGGCACCAAAACTGCAATAATACAAATATTCCAAATCATGAAAACGCTTTTTCTATTTCTGGGATGTTCGAGGCCTGAATTTGGCTATCAACCAAAGTCAACCTTTCACAGTAAAGATTTGCTTTAATCGTGTATATATTGTGATTTAGTTAATATTAGTAAAATATCTATCATATTATTAAGAGGTAGGTTTGTAATTCTTTCTTAAATGGAGCATATATGTTTTGAGTCTCTGGTTCGTTTGAAACAACTTAAGCCAATTTTTTTTTTATAAATTTACAAAATTTCCTTTAAACATATTGTACAAACTTTATATTTTGACTGAGGCTCAATGTTTTATTTAAAATAGAACATAAAACTTTTGCATTTATCTTTTTTTTTTGTAGGTGGGATAAAAATATCCCATGTGGAAACTTTATACATTAGTGGTTTGTCAATTGAAATCGACTTACTTGAACTTGATAACAAGCACATTATTTATTGGGAAGTAGTTTTTTTTTATGGGAAAGTTCAAGTATTAGAATAAAACCACGATCTCCACTTAAATTGTACAGTTGGGTTATTTCTGTATTTGATTTGAATTCTCAATATATTTAACGCTACAAATACTAATATGTATGTAGTTACATATTTTAAATTTGATATATCAAATGTCTTTATCTGTATAATGTGATTTTAATTTAGCTTATCAATATACCAGTGTTTTTCGAATAAGGAACATTTCATTTAGCTTTTTGCCATAGTGTGAAAATGTGTCACAAATCAAAAAAAATCTAGCACATTCGAGAATTTCTCCTATAATAAATAATGGTTATTTGTCTTTATTTCAGTAGTTGAGTGCAATTTTTCAGAAATTGTTTTTTCTTTATGTAAAAAGTATTATTAAATTTTAAAAATATTTCTTTTTATTCGATTTATAAGATTTATAGAGTGATATAATAAACATTTTTGTACCTAAATAATTTATTTTTATTTCTGTCAATACATCAACACAATTACATAATATAACATATCACATAAAAAATTTATTAAATTAAAAAATACAATCTGCATAGCTAAGCTGGAGTATATAAATTATTGCGCTTTTATGTAAAAAAAAATATAATAAATATAATATTGCAATAATTCAAGTATAACAGTTTAAAATATATATGTATAAAGAAAAACAATAAACCGACAAAAAGTACATGAGGCATGGAGCTATTTCCTCTTAGCTACAGTCAATGTTTGTTATCACTGAAAAAATAAATAAGTTACAAAATCAATCAGAAGACGCCCAATCACAAAGTTAGAGGATTAGAATAGAAATAAATATGAATCTTAAAATTAGATACTACAAGGAGTTATTGTCAAAGGATATTTCAAAAAAAAAAGGAATGATTATGTGAAGAGAAAAAAATCAAATTTTACATCTTAACAAATTTTGGGAATAAAGTTTGTGAGGCTTTCGCTGCCCAGGTTTATTGATAAAGTTTTTCATTCGGTCTTGATGGCCGTTGTAAGTTGGAATTTCTTCAGAGGTGCTTCCATGTCCAATTCTGGTAGCAGACTGACGCGGTCCCGACCGCACCTCTACGGGGAGGAGATCACTAAACAGTACCATCGACTAGACAAAGTTAGACGACGCAAGGCACACTTATTAGCGAATCTAACGTTCCTCTGTCGCTGCCAGGACACTAACATCGTACCAGCGTTCCTGCAGATTGAGCGCTCTTTCAAGACACCCCAAGCACATCGCATCTACTCCATAACTGAAAAAGCACTTCTCCGAGAGCGAATCCACAAAACAAGGAAGGATCTGACTGAAGTACATAGAGAACTACTCCACCTACATCTGACGCTCAGCAAAAACGAACAGGCAAAGGACTGGAACAAATTTGACACCATCTCATACTCGAGTATGGATAATGAGCTAAATCGGAGTAAAAAATTCCAGATTCGAAAATACGAGAAGCTCTGTGAGAAACAGAGACAGACGACTGACCGAATAATTGGCCACACATAATATCCGTACCACACCAAGGAACGACCGAAATATACGACAGTCGTGGGGGTGGGAAGTTCAGTGAGTACCCTACGTGACTAATGGCTGGTATCATTCAAAATGTTCGGCAGAGGAGCAGCCAGGGCCTTCAAAAAAGCGGGTTAGAGTGCAAAATGATTATGATAATATTTTTTGTGGATTGGATCAACGTGGGGTACTCCATATTATTGCATTGCTCAAAAACAATGCAGGCAGATATATATGACACCCGTCCATTCGGCATGCAAAAAACTGCCGTCCACACTCCAAAACAAGTGAAAATACTGCCGTCCTGAAAGGGTTAAGAACCTGAATTCAGCGGAAGATATGATCATCCTACCTGCGGATAAGGGCAACGCAACTGTCCTGTCAAGAACTGAAAACTAAAAAGTTGCAAATATCGAGTAAACATCGTGCATATGTTCTCTCGTTTTTTTTTGAAGATTCGGTGGTTCTATCCCATTGTTAAAATTAGTATTTTATATCTGTGCAAAGGAAATTTTTGTACCTACCGAATGATTTGGATTGTGCTTTTGTGTCTGCAGCCACGTAAGAATATTTTGTGAAAAACATTTCCACCAAACATTTCTATCCTCTCTTTTTTGCCTTCTTGTCTTAACAATAGAAGCTTATTTGTGTTTTGATAAAAGATTTCGGCTTAGAGAGTTTTCGCATATAGTGCATACGTTATAATTTACTCCCATAATTTAATTTAGCATCATGAGCAGTGGCGGAGAATGTTATGAGTGCAAAAACCATTGCGTCTTCAAAGAAATAAAAAATGAGCTCTTCGGTTATCCTTGCGACTTGTGCAAGCGAATAATATGTAAAACCTGCGGTAATCTCTCTGCCTCAGAAGTCAGAGTGGTATCAATAGTAAACAGAACTATGCCATTTATGTGCCCCGCATCCAAAGAAAATATGTTCAACATTCCTACTATTATCAAGCGCCTAACACAGCTCGAGACGTTGATTAATGATCGTCATTTGAAGACTAAAGTTGTTGTGGTTGTAGTTGTGGAGAGTTCTTGTAGTCAGACTGAACAGGGAAATAGTGATACCATTGAAAAAATAATAAAGCTTGATGAGAGACTCACAAGACTGGAGCAGAGCGCTAACACAGTAAACAGCGATTCAAAGGTGGTTAACTCTGATGCCATTCCATACTCTGCTAATGAAGAAATATTATCTGAGGTAGCTGAGAGGCAGGAACGCACTAGCAATATTATGATTCTCAACTGCAGCCTCAATGTTGGTGATGGTGACACATCTCCTCTTTCAGGAGTTCTCAGCGAGGCATGTACCCAAACTATAAGCGTTTTGAATGTCATTAAAGTCGGAAAACCCAATCGAAACAGTTGTCAAGCAATGAAAGTCATTCTTCAGGAAAGACAATCTGTTCATAACATCTTGAAAAAGAGAGGAAAAATAATAAAAGACCATCACATTTACATAGAAGCTGACCAAACAATCTCACAAAGAGCTGAGCTGAAATCCCTACAGGATGAATTGAGACGTCGCCCAGCAAATGGCGAAGCGAACCTAGTTATAGGGTATTCCAGGGGTAGACCTAGGATACTTTCCAAAAACTGAGTGCTCCAACAGTGCAATCCACTTATATATCTTGCTATTATCAAAATGTGCGTGGCCTTAACACCAAAACGCACGTATTTCTCAATGGCGTCTCATCTTGTGATATGGACATCAATTGAATCGTGGCTGAAGCCAGAAGTGTTCGATACTCAACTGTTTCCCCTTGTTTACTCCGTGTTTGGGGCAGATCGTGATTTTCGAGCTACGGGATTCTCTAGAGGTGGAGGGGTCGTGCTGGCCGTGAATCGCTGCTGGACTTCTCAGAGACTCGATCTTACGTTTTTGAATAGCAGTGCCTCTGCTGTGGATGTTGTGGGTTGCAGGATAAACTTTAATTCTTTTGTCGTTTATTTAATACTTGTGTATATCCCACCCAATGACCTATTAACACAGATAGACAGAACATCCCATTGATAAAATAGCTTTGTTTTGGTTGACTACATGTTTATGGGCCAGGGGGGGTGAGCTGTGAGAGCGGCTTGGAGTAGGGATTCAAATGATTCCGCTAACTCCGCCCCCATTTTACTATCGCATACTTGGCAACTCTGAAAATGAAACCATAATCAGTGCTACAAAAGTGTATCTTTATCCTTATATTTTACATAATTTTAGAAAAAGATGCGGATACACTCACTGCGCACTGATTGACAAATGGAAATTGTCATAAAATACCTGCAGGTCGCATTTTGACATGTCAATATAATAGGAGCCGCTGATTGGTGGAAAGGTGGAATTCGAGGTGGGATTTATTTTTTTGCAGCGTTGCTAATTTTCATTGAAAAATAATCGCTTTCCACGTGTTAGAGAAAGATACAAAATAACACAAGGATTAATAAGTAGTGGGGAGAGATGCGGTTCCTGGCATGTAGTCAACCGATATTGTTGTTTATTGTTCTGTCTATCTGTGTTAATAGGTCATTCATCCCACCACACTAATTATGTGAGCAATAATAATATCGATCCCAGATGTAACCTAATTTATAATTTGGCAAATATTTTGAATGTGAAACAAGCAAATAGTGTCACTAATGTAAATAATCGATTGCTGGATTTAGTATTTTCAAATATAGCTTGCGACATAGCACGTTACGGTGATGCACCTTTAGTCGATGAGGACACTCATCATCCATCTCTTTTCATAACTTTTAATGCTAGGCATCTATCGAATAATAATTTTCCTATTAATAAAAATAGTCCTAAGGAGTTCAACTTCAGGAAAGCCGATATTCAGCGTTTATATAACTTGATGCTGGAAACTGATTGGTTACCAGTACCTACTTGAATGTACAGATGTCAATACTTGCTGTGTAACACTTAACCAAATAATTGGGAACATATTTGAATCTTGCGTTCCGTCAAAGGTCAAACGCCGCCGTAGCTTCCCGCCTTGGTTCTCGAGCGATTTAATAAAAAATATATACAAAAAAGAGAAAGCATATAAAAATTAAAAACAACATAAAACACAGTTTTACTACCAAAGACTTTGTACGCTTAGACGTCTTATTCATACTCAAAGTGACCTTGCATACAGAGAGTAAATACGAAACACTGAAATGAACATAGCCTCTGACCCCTCAGCCTTTTGGTCGTTTATAAAAAGTAAAAAGGGATATACTAGCATCTCTGGTAACTTGAGGGACGACAACAGTGAGTACGCAAATCCTCAGAGCATTGTTGATGCGTTTGCAAATTATTTTAGAGGTGTATACATTAATTCTTCTCCTAACAATGACACTAAATCCGCCATGCTAAACTCGAATATAATAAATAATATACATACAATAACTTTTCAGGACATTAGAGCTGCCAGTAAAAGGCTGAAGGATAAGTTAACATCCGGTGTTGATGGAGATGGAATACCCAGCTTCATAGTGAAAGACTGCATTGGTGTCCTTTCTGCTCCACTTATGCATGTTTTCAACTTAATTGTTGTTAAAGGTATTTTTCCAGAAACCTGGAAAACGGCAAAGATTATACCTGTTTTCAAGAAGGGCGACAGCACAATAATTAAAAATTATAGACCCATCTCAATCCTTTGTAACTTCTCTAAGCTATTTGAGATTATTATTTACAACAAACTGTATCCTAAGGTTAGAAACCTTCTTTCTCCTTACCAGCATGGCTTTTTGGATTCGCGTTCTTGCACGACCAATTTAGCGACCTTGTCTCAGATCGCCTGTGAGACACTGGACTCAAGGGGTCAATTGGATGTCATTTATACAGACTTACAGAAGGCTTTTGATCAAATTGACCTTTATATATACTGCTTCGTAAACTCGAGAACTTTGGCGTGTCGCAATCAGTCTTACTAATGTTAAAATCTTATCTATTTGGACGCACTCAGTTTGTTGAATATGAGAATTTCCGGTCATCGCCATATGTCGTCTCTTCGGGAGTACCACAGGGATCCAATTTGGGACCCCTGCTTTTCCTAATCTTCATAGACGATCTCCTCAATACTATTAAGTGTCCGAGGCTGGCATATGCCAATGATTTGAAATTGTTTAATAGAATTGATGCCGCATCAGACTGTGACTATCTTCAACAGGGTTTGTCTTTATTACATGGTTGGTGTCTTGAAAACAGACTTGTACTAAATGTACTTTGCTGTTAGTTTTGGTTGCAAGAATAATCCATCGATTTATGCGTATGCTTTGGATGCTGGGGCGTTGGGTAGGCCTGAGGATGCCATTCGAGACCTGGACATTTTGTTCGACTGTAAACTTCATAGACTTGTAAACTTACATTTATACCCCAAATTGCTAACCTTATCTCAGTTTGCTCCAGGTCACTTGGTTTTCTCATAAGAAACTGTATTTTTCAGACATTCCCACTATCATATTATTATATAGCGTGTTCATTAGATCGAGGCTGGAATATGCCGCAGTAATTTGGAACCCTATTTATAACTGCCATATACAGGCCATTGAATCGTTGCAAAGACGTTTTTTGAAGTACCTAGCTTTTAAAGAGGATGGTGTGTACCCCCCGAGAGGTTGCGATCACAGACTGCTCCTACAAAGATTTAATTTGCCATCTTTAATGACAAGAAGGAAAATTCAGAGCCTCAAATTATTGTATGGTCTCACTCATAATACAACCGATTGCCCGTTTTTTCTTGGTGAGTGCCATTCCATGTTCCTCGCCCCGAATGCATGCTTCAGCTTTCTATCTCAACGCAGCAAGATCCAATAGCCTTATGCAGTGTCCGATATATTTCATGTGTACAGTTTTCAATTCACTGTCTCATCAATGTGATATACATGCTGACTCGCTGAATAGTATTATTGAGTCTCTCTTACGTGCAGAGTGATTGATTTTTGCTACTGTTGATGTTATTATTACTAATGGTGCTGCTGCTTATATTATTATGGTCGCTGTTGTTATTGTTAGTATTCCCAATGACGCTTTTACTGATATTGCTTTTGTTATAATTAGTATTTTAATTTATTATAATTGTAATTAGTATTCTGCCATTATTGCATTATCACTTTTTTCTCATTCTTTTTTATTATTTTTTTTTCTTTAAATTAACTTCAATTTGTAATTACTGTTTATGTTATTTACTACCAATTTATCTCCCACATTTATATTTATAGAATTTCCTGTAAGTGGGTTTAAGTACCTGTTGGAAATAAAGACTATTTATTTATTTATTTATTTATTTAAAACTACAACTGGAATATTCAAACTCCTTGATACATCCACCTACTGAAAGCTAAAGAAGGATCCCACCCAAGTCATACTCCGGAACATCACCAAACTAATTAGATCATCTACCCTAACAGGCACGGTTAAGAAAGAGGCATCATAAAAGCGGAAGCGGTTTCACCACGACTCTACGGCCTACCCAAAATTCACAAACCTGAAGTACCGCTAAGACCCATAGTGAGTGCACCTGGAACACCAACGTACAACCTAGCGAAACATTTTGCATCGCTTCTTCAACCGCATGTAGGAAAAACTAGCTCTTACATCGGGGACTCCACTCACTTCGTCCAGAAAATTAGGGTTATTATTCTACAATCTAGAGATATCCCGGTGAGTTTTGATGTCGTGTCGCCATTCACAGAAGTGCCGTTGACGGAATCTCTTGACTTGATATCAAGTACCTTCCCCAATGACATAGTTGAGTTTTCTGGACATGTCTCACTGGTAGTTACTTCCTGTGGAACAGCGATTTCTACGAGCAAACGCACGGTGTAGCTATGGGAAGTCCGCTTAACCCGGTCATAGCCAACTTCTTTATGGAGGATTTCGAGAGGAAATCTATCGAATCTTTTGAGCACAATCCAACGGTATGGCTTCGATATGTAGATAATACTGAAGTCGTGGGGGAGAGAAGCTTAATCCAGTTCCTAGGCCACCTGAACGCGCAACATCCTAGCATACAATTAACCATGGAAAAGGAGAAAACCCAATAAATCGGCTTCTTAGATGTACTCATGAGAAATCTGGAGGAAAACTAAGCCATACGGTGTACCAAAAATGCATCTGAAATCGACAGGACCATGAGACCCAAAACGACCATCCGACAAAACGTGGATGAACAACCAGTGGTAGCAAATGTATATCTGCCTTTCATTTCCCGGGTGACAGACAGGATAGGGAAAGTCTTGAAGAAACACGTGTACGTAACGCTATAGAAATCTACAAACATACAAATAACTTCAACAGGAAAGAAGAAACACTAAAACTTAACCGAATCCGGATCCCGATCCTCAAAAACACAAAAAGATCTCATTGAGTACAGAGAAAGTCAGATTAGCCACGTGCTGTGAAGCCTCGCCCCTCCTCCCCCACCACAACACTGACACATAAATAAAACTTGCGGCTGGAAACGCGTCAGTCAGTCTGCTCCTAGAATCGGACATGAAAGCACCAGATGTTAGCCACGCGTGTTAGCGAAACGTCAGGAAGAAATTTCAGCTTACGACGGCCATTAAGTCCGAATGAAAACACTTTATCAATAAATTTGGGGAAAATGCTAAAGTCATTTGTATCCGTACATCTTCATTTCTTGTTTTGCATTCAAACTGTTTCAAGAGATAATTAAATTACACTTACAATTTTTCTCGATCCTTCGCGCTTCATGGCCGTTCCCTCCTCGAAGCCGGCGATAATGCAACCATCGGCGACCTCCTGTGAACAGAATTATCGAAGCTGTAAGCACCCACTTTTTTCAAACGTTTGACTCGCCATACGGAAGTACTTTCCAAAAATTTATTCAGGCTATTGGCAGGACTGGTTGTCAAGTCTGCCTTGAAGGTACTGTTACTAACGCCCGGCGTGGAAACGCTCGATTGATTTATGGCTGGAGTTCGCAGGAAATTTGGTTTTCCTGAGCGCAATTTGATTTGGCGGAAAAGGTCACCGGTGGAACCCATCGGAGTAGATATGGTGCGTTGGCGACAGTTGGGTGTAGATACGGGACGTTCCTGAAAAGGAAAAGCGTCTAAAACGTATATTACTTGAAAATGTTTTTGTTTTATGTCTAAAGACACAATAAACTAGAAATTCCTTACCGATGCTTTCTTCAGCTTCACTTTCAAAATATCATCCAAACTGATAACAGGCCGGCTATTGTCTGTTACAACCATCCCTATAGCACTTTTTGACTTTTTCTGCAAATTCAATTTAGGTGGTACTGTTTGGATAAGTGGCATAGGAGGAAGAGGCGGCGGAGGTGGTGGAGGTGGTGGCGGCGGTAGCGCCGGTGCTGGTGGCGCAGCAGGAGGTTTAGTTACAATAGTATCTACAGGTGCAGCAGTATTGGCAAAACACTGAAACTGTTCTTTAAGGGTAGTTAGTTCAGAGCGTAGATCCTTGAAGGTAATCAATTCTTGTTTAACTTTATTTAGGTCTTCGTTTAATATTAGATAATTGTTATGATCTCCGCTACTTGCACTGGCATTGTGATTTTCGTCGATTTGTCTTCTAAGTTGGCCCACTTCCTCAGTGAGATGGTCAATTTTAACATATAAATCGCCAATTTCTTGTTTGAAAGAATCACAGTGGCACGATTTTTGAGTTTGGGAACTTTCTAGCATCGATTTTTCATTATACATGTCGCATAATGAAGATAAGCTCTATAAAAATATTCAATTTCAATTATTATTTCTGTGTTTGGGGGTCAAAATTCCTATATTTCCAAAGATGAACGTTTGCACTAAAACTTCTTCTAATAATTAGTAAGGCCAAAGATCAAAGACAAACCTTATAAATAATGCCAGCTTTGAGGGTGCATTCTACTATAACTTTTGTCTTTTGCCTTTCTTTAAGGATTGTGTTTCATCTCTGGCAACTCTAATTGACAATTTTACACAGCAAATGTTTGCCCCCAAAGTAAGCCAAATTTAAAGACAATCTTAACAAGGAACCAGAACAATTTCTCTTTCAGACTCATATTTTTCTTTGGCTACTCTCAGGATTAACATTTGTGTGGTAGGAAACCAGAACATCTAAAAGAGTCTTGCACAATAAGTTTAAGCGCTGTGGTAAAAGCCAAAAATCCCCCAGAGAGAATGCAAACCTTGCTCGATGCCAACTTACTACAATTATGTTTTGATTGTGAGAATGCGGGAGAATAAGTTGGCCTCATGAGAAAGGAAAATTCATGAGTCTTGTAAAAGAAAATCTTCAAAGAATTTGTTTTACCAGGCTCTAAGATTCCCTCTTTTCTACAGCAGTATTTCTTGACTTCTCTCAGGGTTTTTAACCACTAACATCTTTTAATCTCTTGTGCAAGTCGCTTTAGTTTTCTTTTTTCTGTATTCCCTTTTGTTGGCTGTTTTAAAGTAAGTATCATTCTATACAACTATGTGGCATTCATTAAATGTTGGAAACTTACATTTTTAATTTGTATCCCTAGATGTGCACAGGATTCCATCATTCTGCCGCTCCATTTTACTGACGCTTTGCTGTATCTGGTTAGAAAAGAAGCAAAATAAAATAAAATTTAGAAATAGAAGGATTTCAAAATTTTTGGCTGTTTATATGTTGTCTTTCAGCCTCCACCTCCAAAATTCCAAGAAAAAAAAATTAAGAAGGATTGATACAGAGCTGAAACCTCACTCCAAACAAAGATAACTAGAATTTCATCACGATCAATTTGTTCCAGCTTATTCCATACTCCATAGCCAGATACATTATTTTGTTTATAGAATAAACAAACCAAAAAATTTCTTGTAGAGGAAAAATTTAACATATAGCCAGTTTTAAAAAGTCAAAATTAGTCACAAAACAAACAAACAACTTCACTTACCTCTTAATTCTATTAACGATTTTTTCATACACCCCCAATCTGGCAGTTGGCGTTCTGACTTCACAAGAATTCTCCAAAGACAACTGTTGAATCTCTGAAGTTGCCGAACGAGATATTTTTTTCACCCTAGAATAATTAACCAATCGATTGATTTTTGGTGAAATTCTCTTTTTCTTCTTACTACTTCCCAATAGTCTTATACTATTGCTTTTGTCTTTGTTGATTACTTTTTCAGTTAGAGGAGGAGTATTCAAGTTTACGTTATCCAATCTTATAGGGACTGAGTCAATTATAGTCAAATCAAGACTGTTGTTCAATACTTGTTCAAGTAGTTTCGCTGATCTAGGCGTTTTGCTTATTATATCTCTATTAAGAGGACTTCCGTCAAGTTTCTTATTTATCAACGATAACTTTGTGTCGTTTTCTTTTAAATAATTTACAACTTGTATTGGTGTAGAACTGGTTTTCATTTCAAAAAGTTGTGGTGAGAAAAAGGACAATTCTTCCATGTTTTCTTTTTGCCATTGAGATTTTACGTTGGCAATTTCTTTATCTTTGAAATATGGATTAACATTTATCTCATTTATTTTCTGATTATAGTAGTTCTTAGTGTAGTTTGATTGAGGTGTGATGTTCATGTCTTGTTTTTTTTGTGAAACTTTTGGCGTTTCAGTAATGTCTAGCTTAATTAATTCCTCGTCCATAGTCTGGGTGCTCTTATTCAAAGACAATTTGTTTTCTTGACTAGAAGTTTGCAGGTTTGAAATACTTATGTGCGACCTTAGATGATCACCATTACTTTTGTCAAGTGAAGAAGTTTTCCTGATTGGTGTAGCTTCATTTGAATCAAACAATACATTTAAATTAGTTACATTTAAAGTGCCATCTTTATGCCTGTTTTGGCTTCGTCGTTTATTAACTGGAGTTCCTCTGAGAGGTGTGTAATTTATAAGAGTATCACTATTTCTTGATAAGTCCATAGTTTGATTTTGTAAATCATCATTTTTTTCCTTAAAATTGATTTAAATATTTTGAGCACTACATGATAATATTATTGAGTAAATAATTATAATAAAACATTTTTACCTCTTTCTGTAATTTTCTTACAGGCGTCTCCATTTCAAAAGAATCCTTCCTAAACCTCTTAGCTTTAGGAGTAATAAAATCACTATTAACTAAAGTACAAGAAGTGGAAGGGTCATCAGAACTCAATAAAGTTGCCATCGAACTGTCAGTATTGGTTGTGTCATTTGGTTTGGAGGAAGCTTGGTTTTTTCTGTTGGCGATTTGACGTTTCTTTTTGTTTTTTCCATGTCTTCGATGATTTCTTTTTCTTCTTGGCATTTTCACGATAGTTGAATTTCGAATTCCTATAAGATAAAGTAAAAATTGAATGAAGGTGTAAGGGCAAAACCGATTGGACATAAAATAAAAAATAATGGCGATAAAAATTTATAAAAGTGAGTAGCTAAAACCAGAAAACAAATTACCTTGCAAATTAATTGGTTGAAAAAGTTCCCCTATAAGTGAGATGCTAACATTTTCAAATAATATTTTATTTAAGGGCTAGTTACAATCCTACAAAATTATGGATCAATGGCTTTTTAAGCAATCCATAAATAAATCAGACTATTCAATTTCTACGAAATCGCTGAATGGACATCGCATTTTCTTTTTTTAGTTCTCTATACCTAAATTGTCTGTTGGAGCTGACCATTAGGTATAAATGTTACTTAGAACTGACAATTAGATTTACTTGTGTTGTCACAATTATACCTAATTGTCAGTTGTGTTGCAACTTACTACTTCATTGGTTACAACTGACAATAATTATGGCTAATTATGTCAGTTTTTAGTGACAATTTATATATCTAAGTAATTGTCAGTTCTTATCCTGGCCAATAAGGAAACAATAATTCGCCGTACGTTTTTGTAATCAGGGCAGTCTTTGATTGTTTTTTTTTTTTGAAGCCAGCAGTCTCCTAATAAAAGGAAAAAATCTGTAACTCAGTTAATAATTAATCAATTCTATTTTTTCTTCGAAAAGAAAGAAATTTTTGGAAAAATATTTTTTACTATAGGGGACTACTAGCTTTCCTAAACCTAGCAATCCCTTAGTTTTTCTTGATTTTCTCAAAAACTAAAGGAGCACCTGATTTTTAATTCGAGGCCCTAATAGCACCTAAAAAGCAGCCAGCAGTCCCCTAATGATTGAAAAAAAATCTGTAAATCAGTTAATAATTAATCAATTCTATTTTTTCTTCGACTATTTAGGAGCACCTAAAAAGCACCTTATTCTGATACAAAAGTAAATTTCGGAAAAATATTTTTTACTATAAGGGACTACTAGTTTTCATAAACCTAGCAATCCCTCAATTTTTTTTTTGATTTTCTCAAAAACTAGAGGAGCACCTTATTTTTAATTAGAGGCCCTAATTAGCACCTAAAAAGCACCTAATTATTATATAGATCCCGAAGTTTTTTTCCATTCTGACACACCAACATGTAAACGTAAAGCGAGCAGTCCCCTAATAGTTAAAAAAAAATCTGTAACCCAGTTAGGTAATAATTAATCAATTCTATTTTTTCTTGGACTATTTAGGAGCACCTAAAAAGCACCTAATTCTGATACAAAGATAAAATTTGAAAAAATATTTTTTACTATAGGAGACTGCTAGCTTTTATAAACCTAGCAGTCCCTTAGTTTTTTTTGATTATCTCAAAAACTAAAAGAGCACCTAATTTTTAATTCTAGGCCCTAATTAGCACCTAATTATTATATAGTTCCTGAATTTTTTTTCCACCTTGGGACTGCTAGGTTTATAGACCTGTAAATAGTAAATGAAAAGCTCACTCTTCGTGTTTTAGGTAATATTTAAAGCTTTTTCTGTTGTCTTACTTCTTACTTTTCTGAATAGCAATAAATACATATAGTCTCTGTTCATAAAGTCAATAGACTTTTTCAAGTGCATGATCTGAGATTTTGGACTCTGATTGGCTAGATCTTGGGGCTTCACTAGGGCCTTGGCCCGCCCGAATTTTGCCCCATCAACGTTCAAAATCTCAGATCACGCACTTGAAAAAGTCTATACACTTTATGAACAGAGACTATATTTATTGCTATTCAGAAAAGTAAGACAGTAGAAAAAGCTTAAAATATTACCTCGAATATTACCTAAAACCCGAAGAGTGAGCTTTCCATTTACTATTTCTATTTACCTAATTCATCTTAATTTGTGTTAGTATTGTTTCAAGTGCTGCAGCAGATTTCTGTGCTTTTCCTGTTATGTCAAAATTCCGGTGTATCTGAAATGTATGAAAGCGCTGAACAGACATCTCATATTTCTTTTTTTAAACCTCTATACCTTATTGTCAGCTGAAACTGACATGTAGGTATAATTTTAACTTATCTGACAAGTAGGAATAATTGTTACTCAAAACCTCGCTCAAAACTGACAATAATTAGGTAAAATAGGCATCGGGTCTTCAAAAAAAAAAAACAATCAAAAACTGCTCTGATTACGAAAACGTATGTCGAATTTGTTTCTTTAATGTAGAGTAGAAGATTTCAGAGGTTTTTAATAATACCCAAGCCCTATATGGTTTGGTTTGAGATTCTCAAATAACTGGGCACATATAATATCACATATTTAATTTATGCTGTGCTTTCTGTACGTTAGAAATAAGACCCTAGAAGCGTCCACATGCTGTTTCTTGGAAAAAAGGATCAATTATCAGTAGGTATAGTTAACATAATGAAATATAATGCAGATTCAATTTGATACCTATATTTTCTAGGCATCAACATATGATAAAAATTAATTTCCAATATTGTACTTACCTCCTAGACACAAATTTACACGTTCAATACACAAAAAACTCGGAAATTTACAGTAAAAACCTTTTTTTTTTAAATAAATCAGAAATCAGACGTCAATATTCACAACTGACTTTTTTCAAAATTTTAAATCTGTTGGAGATTTTTAATTTTTACGATTTTTCTATGGAAACCGCGCGACGTTGTCAAGTTTGATGAGAATTGAAAGGACACGATAGAAAAGGGAGGAGGCAGTGAAAAGGGCCTATCGATATTTATAGTTATCGACACGATATTCATTCAAAACCATATTCAAAATAATTTCTGGTTGGATTTAGAAGTAGAAGCCCCCTCTTACATGTCCACAGTCCAGTGAAAAACTGCTCGTAGTGATCGATCTTTTCATTATTGGAAATAAATAAAAAAATTAATAAATTAATAAATAAATTATTTGAATTTTTAATTATTCTAAAATATTTCCTATGGAATAATATAAGACTAGTAGCGACATATGAACCAAGATTACAGAAATAATCCTTAATTTATAATTAGTTAAATAATAAATAATTGGAAATTGGAGAAAGGGTTGTCGATACGATATAGGTATCCACTATCCAGGGCTGGGACCTTGGGACTCTGTAACGTATAGAGATCGTTATACCCATCACTATGGCACTTGCTATCTTCTTTCTTTTGGAGTAGAGAGGGGATGTCAATAGAGATAGAGATCCCTTAACCCTATTCGCTACAGAGTCCCAGTCACTTACACCTTCGATGATTACTCGCTCCGGTGTTAAGCCTTGTATTCATAACTGCGAAATTCGTACTTTTTTGACATTGCATTGACAAATTGACGTTTTATACGTGAATCCAACGCCAAATTCTCGAAGCAATGTCAAAAAAGTGCGAATTTCGCAGTTATGAGTACTAGGCTTTAGCCGTTAGCCGACCCCGATTTGAAAGGGGCAGATCGGCAGATACGCTGGCTTTCGTGCATTATGGTTTTAAGTTCGAGCTTGAGCAGTCAGGTGCAATAGAGACTGTTCGAAAGGGATCAGCGCGTAACGCTCCGGAGCTGTTTCTGAGCTCCTCCTAAGTGTGAAAAGAATACTATTCGTAACGCTATGATGGTTGAACGCAAATGCCGATGTTTCGTATAAATGAATCAATTCAACACTCTTACCTTTCGTTCGGTATTTTGCTCAAAGAGCAGAGCGTGCTGAGCGGAGCCGTAATTACGTGACCAGCGAGCGAACAGAGCAGTTGAACGGTGTGTCCGAGTGCCCGAAATTTTATTACGAACGCAAATGAGCCTGCACCGAGTACACTTTTTGAATAAACGAACGGTAAATTCAAACTCGGAGAACTCAGATCCAGGGGCGGCTCCTATTAGAAATGTGGGGGTTGCAATTCCAATTTCAGCCTTATCAGATAATGATCGACCACAGAATGGCTCTGCAATTGAACTTTGAACATTTTCTTGTCACGCACCACACCACAAACTAAAATAAAATATTTTAAAACAAATCGAATCTGCGATGCGCGCAAAAAAGTGAAGAAAGTTTGCAGTTTGCCTGCAACCTGCTGGAGCTTATGGGACGAAATTGAAATCCACGCGCAGATAGGCACCACATATGCGCCGTCATATGGCCTTGCGTTCGGTATTTTGCTCGAAGAGCAGAGCGTGCAGAGCGGAGCCGTAATCACGTGACCAGCGAGCGAACAGAGCAGTTGAACGCTGTATAAAAGTGCCAGAAATTTTAATAAACGAACGCGAATGAGGATACACCGAGTACACTTTTTGAATAAACGAACGGTAAAGTCAAGCTCGGAGAACTCAGACCAAAATAACGAACGCACGGTAAGCCGATCGGGTTGCATTCGAGGTACAATCCGGCGCGGCGGCGTGTCAGTTATTGCCATTTTGCCAAATTATTTTAATAAATTCATTGCGGAACAGCTTCTCGCGTAATATTATGTAGGTACCAAATTCTGGTATAATTTATTTTTAAAATATAATTAGGTACTAAAATATTAGTTCTTTTTTGTTTTATTGTATTCAACTTTTGTTTTGGGGGTTGCGCAAACCTGCAAACCTTAGGAAGAGCCGCCACTGCTCAGATCAAGATACCGAACGCAGGGTTACTAAGTTATCGATATGACAAACCCGTATCGATATGCACCGAGCGTGTATCGATGTATATATAATATTTCGTATCGATAAGCCATCTAAGAATACTTCCGGATCATCGGATTGACAGACAAACGGATGCATGGAAAGTAAGCTTAAAACGTTTCAAGTTCGAGAAGGTTTTGCGGTTAAAACGGATTAAAGGAAGTATAAACTTGTTGAATTGATGTTTTTTTTTGCAACATTCTTATCGATATATATCGATATGACGGATTTGTATCGATAAGCCCTCCCTCCTCTCTAATATAACTTCACTTTATTAACTTGCTAGATTGCTTTCTAGGCTCTCTCTAGAGTCTCTAGTCCTCATCTCTGGTAAATAGTTAAGTTACTTGTTTCACTCAAATCAAATCAAAATATTCGAACAGGAACATTGCTGCTCCCTTTCTTGTGTGGTGTGCTGCTGTAAGTTGCTGTTTCCCTTTTGCTCATCTCGGACATGCATGTGCATGAGTGTAGAAGGGCCTTCATCACTCCATCTTCAAAACACCAAAGCCGAAGAACTATTTTTATATACATACATACATAATTATTTAAATAAGGTATGTGCACAGTTGATTCCACTATGGTTTTTATAATACTCGTTATATTTAGTCTTTCTTACTAAGGCCTGGTTTATTCATCTTCAGATATACTTGCTTGTAACTATCTGCAAGATAAATTATTTACGGTTCTATAATTCTATTGGTCCATTGGGCGGTGTATAACTGGCTGACCAATGGGATTACAGATTGCGTTTTTCTTGGTAAGATAGCATAACTGACAGTTTACCAGAAAGTAAATAATAAACCGGCCCTTAAATTATTAGGTATGGTATACAGTGTGAATGTACATAAAGTATGAAATGAATTCAATATAAAATAAACGAAGGGGTTTTCGAAAAAACGCTATTGTTTTTTTGCTTGAGATTTTTGTACACAATTTTTTTTTACAGTTTTTGACTGCATTGATTGCATTAAATATGATAGTTGACTGCATTGACTTTTGTGCAATATTTATTAAGATTGCAGGCTTCACTCGCAGCTACTGGCTTACGATTTTTCGCGAGTGTATATGGAATGTATGGCACTGCATGCGACGGTATTATGACAGCATTCTATTGACTGCATGAGAATGTATGGACTGCATATACATGAATGTATGATATTTGTACACCTACTGCATGAGTGAAACACCCCTCGGTCTTTATTAAAATATTAGGTCTGTTCCCACAGAAATCACAAACCAGTCAGAGTAAATTTCATTGGTTGAAACTAGTTTTCTGACTGTTTTCAACCAATGAATAACGCTTTGACTGGTTTGTGATTTCTCTACGAAGAGACCTATTGTAATATCATTCAAAGAACGTCAGCTACTTAGTAAAGGTGAATGGTAATCATAATTGGTCCTACGGAAATCAAGATGAAACAATGTGTTTACTCTTAAATTGCTAGAGGGTACATGTAAGCCTCGATGTGAGCCTACTGTAGCAAGTAAGTCAGAAGAATGAATAATAGCGATCTTTAACAGGGTACACATATCAACAAACTGTCGCCTCTGGTTCAGAGATTCAAGATTTAGGAGACTTGATGAAAACTTTTTCTGGATTCATTCCAGATAGATGTGCACTCCATAATAAGGGGACCAGACAGGGCAAGCATATTCAACCACTGATCTAACAATAGATGTTTTTTAGGGTATAGATATTAGTGAATTCTTTTAGTAACCTAAACATAAAACCTAGTAACTTCATTGCTTTATCGGCAGTTATTTCAATGTGTTCTGTGAAGCCCACATTAGTATTGAATTGAAGTAGACTCCTAGTCTCTTAAAATTTCAACCCTGTCAATCTCCACATAGGGAAATTCATCAAAGTCCATTTGTAATACTTGATTGAGCATCCTCTCAATCCTGATTCCTGAATAACCATAAAACTACTAAAAAGTAATGGAGACAGGTTTCCACCCTCAGGCACTCTCATGGTCACCGAAAATACCAGAGAAATGTAGTTATCAATCTTTACAAGCTTGTTTTCTACCTGTGAGAAGACTTCTAATCAAGCTCAATAGACTATCATGCACTCTCACATGGGCCAACTTTTCCATCAGTATCCCATGGTCGACTCTGTCAAAGGCTTCGGAGAAGTCAGTGTAGACTAAGTAAATCTGATAGTTATTCTCCGTTATTCTCCAAGCCCTCCAACAGAGACATCTCTTAAGCTGGAAGAGTAAAGTGAGCAGAATCAAAAATCAACACATGGAACATTAAAGGCTCGTTAAAGGCTAATTAAATGCCCTAATGAGAAATTTTAGGCTCCGCGAAAATGGCTGTTTTGCTAGCTTTAACTTAAGCCAGCAGATCATGAGTGAAAAAGTAGCTAAAAGAACGAAAATTGCAATTCCACATGCACATACATTACAGGCTCATTAAAGGCTCCGAAAATACACCAATCACACCAATACAATACACCAATTCAATTTCCCAACGTTCCGTTGTTTATTCCAACTATATCAAGGGTCAATCTTGAGAGCTTTAACATCCCTGTAACTCTTTAAGATTGACCCTTGATAAAGTTGGAATAAACAACGAAACATTGAGAAATTGAATTGGAGTTTCACTAACTGCCTTGCCCTCTCTCTCTTGCTACATATAATCTTCATTATTTGGAACCTCAAAAACCTAGATAATAATAATTATTGTATAAAACTTCCATAAACAGTATGATGAAAAATAAATTAAAATATTAAAAATGTTTTTTTTTTTTTTTTCAGTAATAACTCGAAATGAGTTTTGGAGACACTTCCGACGAAGTTTCCAGTGAACAAGAAGTAAACCTTCAAAAACTGTCCAAATTTGAACCTAAAAACTCTGCAAAACAGCGCAATGGTGCACATAAATGTAGCCAGTGTAAGGCAGTCTTCACCCGTCCTTACCGACTAAAAAACCACGTAGCATCTCAACATTTAAACTTGAAACCGTTCAAATGCAACGATTCCGGCTGCGACAAAACCTATACGAATAGTTCCCACTTGAAACGGCATAAAATTACAGCACACTCTCAGGAAAATGATAATTCGAAAGAAGTCATTTGTGGAGAAGAAGGTTGTGGCTCAATTTTTATCAATAAATACAATCTACAAAAACATATTTTGAGAATCCATCAACAGCAAAAATATAAATGCCTTTTGTGCGATGAAGTATTTCAGCGGAAAAGCCAATTGAATGCTCATAAAGTTGAAATACATAATGTTGAGGCTCCATATAAGTGTAGCGAGTGCGACAAGTCATTTGTACAATTACATTTGTACCACAAACACAAAAAAGCTCACAAAACCTATAAGTGCGACTGTGAGAAGTCATTTCCAAGGTGGACCGAATATCTAAAACACAAAAATTGTGAATGCACTTTAAAACAAAGTGAACACGAATGTTCTATTTGTAATAAATTGTTTATTTCAAGGGAAAACTTGACACAACATGTCCTTAAAATTCACGTACAAGATAGTAATGATGATAATTATAAATGTGCTTATCTTGACTGCAATAGGTCTTATAAATATAAAAAGAACTTGGATTTTCATATGAAAACAGTTCACGAAAAAATATTTGAATATATCAAATGCACTTATGAAAATTGTGAAGCTGTGCTTAAATCAAAGAGAATTTTGAAAAATCATTTAAGAATTATGCATAGTAAAAAACTTAGAGAGAAAAAACCCAGAAAGCCTAGAAAAGATAAAGGACTTAAAAAGGGATTTAGGAGTATGGCATCACAGTTAAGTGGAATTAAAGTTATTCATAATGACACTATAAAAGGTTCATCTGTGGTCTCAGAGAAATTAGATAATAACAAAGCCAGGGAGGATGTGGATGATTATAATAAATCACATATGAGTAAAGTATTGTCAATATTAAATTCCCGAGTTGAGGCCTCTAAATTTAACAAAATAACTGAAAAGGTTAGCGTGGAGTCAACAATACTGGAAGATTCCTCTATAATTGTGAATGGTAGTGAGATTAGTAGTGATGCCTCTAAACTTAACAAATTAACTGAAAATGGGAGCAAGGAGTCAACAATACCGGAAGATTCCCCCATCATTGTGAATGGTAGCATCGTGTTTGATTTTCCTGAATTTGAGATGGGAAAGCAATATGTTGAAGTTAATGAGCCTTCTGTGTCTGTCAATGATGTTAGTATGGAAACACTTTAGTTGGCATATACACCCTATTTATTTTATTATTATTATTATTATTATTATTATTATCAATGAATTGTTATTATTATTATAAATAAGAGCAAGCTGTAGAACCGATGGAGCTGTTGAATACGTTAAGTTCAAAATATTGCTTTTTTAATGAGTTCACAAGATGTTTGTTGAGTAGTTTACACAGAATAATGAATAAATGCCTTAGACATCAAACTGAGATCGCTATCCAGTCTATTTTTAAACGAGTTCGTACTGGGAGCTGTGAAGCTATGACTGTTTCTTCACTTAGTGAATTCCTCGTATAAATTGCATAGGAAGTTTCTTCTGCTAAGTTCAGAACATCTTTCTTCCTCTAATTTTTTAGAATCTCCTCGAAGGTTGTGGTTGTCCGGTTGTCCCTTAGATTATATAAATTCAAGTTGACAGAGTAGTACCTTATTACTTGAGATTTTATAAGTTGTAATTTGATCTCCTCATAGCCTCCTGTCATGTAGGGTAGTTAGGTTGAAGTCCTTCGGACCTTCGACAGACGGTCTTCATATGTGAGTGAGGTCTTGGGTTTCTGGTGGAGTTTTAGTAATTTTTCTTTGGACTGTTTCCAGTGCCTCAATGTCTTAGGTATAATAAGGATTCCAGACTGACTAGGCAATTACGCTTACTCTAGTATGGGTCTGATGTAGAGCTTATATTTTTAGGATTGTAGTAACTTGAGTGATCTTTGAATGCCTATTGCGACAGGTAGGCCAGGTAATTAGCCTTTATAATAATACATTGTGATATGTGTATACTTCTGATTGTTGGTTTCAATGACGCCAAGATCTCTATGTTCAGTAGTAGATACCATTGTAATGTTTGTAATCATATAGGGGATTGTTGGTGCCAATGTGAAGTACAGTGCATTTGTTTTCATTAAGGTTCATCAGCCAGTTATCATACCACTCAGATACCTTCAGTATGTCGGATTTTAGGCCTTCACTGCTAGTGATTGGATTGCAAAAGAGTTCGGTGTCATCTGCGAAAAAACTTGGTTTTCAAATCAAATCAAAATAAGCTTTATTGTCAGAAAATAACATAAGAGTTTCATTGACAAAGCAATACTTAAAGCTAGATTGTACTTAAAATCACAAAATATTACAATAACAACATTCATAATGACAAAATAATCTTTGATAATGAGCACAACCACAGATAAAAAATGCTAAAAACAAAAAATTAAAAATCTTAATCCTAAGACAACGACAACACAATAAATCAGGTTAAAATGAAGTAAAAAATATAAAAAATGTAAAATTATGATTATAGTGCATCGCCATAATATTCTTCTAGATCATAATAGGCTCTCTCTAACAACATATATTTAACTTTATTTCTAAATGCTTTATAACTGTTAAGGTTTTTAAAATCATAAGGTAACTTATTATAAACCTTAATGCTCTTATATATCAGGGAATTTTGTGTGAGAGTGAATTTAGGTGTTGGTACTGGAATATTATTAAAATGTCTTGTTGAATAGGGATGCATGTGTGTAGAATCTTTATATTTTTTATGGATAAGGCAGACTGTTTCGAGTATATAAAGACTTGTAAGAGTTAATATTTTTTCTCTTTTAAACAATGGTTTACAGTGTTCTCTCGGGTCTGCTCCACAAACATGTCTTACACAACGTTTCTGAGAAATGAAAACCGAATTCCACAAGTACTGGCTGCAATTACCCCAAAGGCAATTCCATATCGCAAGTGGGATTCAACCAGAGCATGATATGTGATTTTGGCCATTGATGTTCCTAGCCCACAGAAGGTTTGTCGTACTGCAAAACCTCCCATTGCTATCTTGGTATTCAAGTTCAAGATGTGCTGGTTAAATTTTAAGTTCGTATCTATATGTAATCCGAGAAACTTGGTGCTTTCAATAGAGCCAATCGCCTGATTTGCCATGTCTAAATTATTTAATGAAAATTTAAAGCTAACAACTTTTGTTTTTTCTACATTAAAACAGAAAAAATTTGCATCACACCATTTCTTAATTTGGTGTAAGTCGTCTGAGATAAACTCCTTCAAAACATTCGGGTCTCTATGAAACCAAAGAGGTGCGATGTCATCAGCAAAGCCAGTGAACTTACATTTAACTGGTAGCTCGAACAGGTCATTAACATAAATCAAAAATAAAATAGGTCCAAGGACTGAGCCTTGTGGCACACCTGTATCAATGGGTAAAGACGATGACAAGGAATTGTTATTTTTGACCATTTGTGTCCTTCCTGTCAGGTAAGAATTGAAAAATCTTGACGATACTCCTCTAAAGCCATAAAAGTACATTTTGTCCAGAAGCAAGTCATGTCTGACACAATCGAACGCTTTAGAGTAGTCGCAAAATACAGCAGCTGCAAACTCTTTATCATTCAGTTTGAAGTAAAGCTTCTCGAGAAAAGAAAAAATGGCATCATTGGTGCCTTTAGATGATTGAAAACCGTATTGACATTCGCTAATAAAATTATGACGGTTTAAAAAATCAACGATCCTGTCCTTAACAATTTTTTCGATTATCTTAGACAGCGTATTTAAAAGGGAAATCGGTCTGAAATTGGCTGGGTCAGTATGGGAACCTGCCTTATGTAGTGGGATTACCAAAGCCACTTTTAGAAAATCAGGAAATTCTCCAAATAAAAAACATTTGTTTATAGTTAGAGCCAACACATGCAAAACATTGTCATCAAGATTTTGAAATATTTTGACTGGGATTTCATCGATTCCCGCAGAGTTCTTGTTTTTAATATCTGTTATTATAGCTTTTATTTCATACGCATTTGTTTCAGTCAGTAGAAATGGTTCGCCGATATACGCTTGGTGATTAAGATAAGATAGGGGATTTGCTAGGGGTTCCAAATTATCTGAGAGTCTTTTTGCAACTGTACAATAAAATTGATTAAAAGCGTTTACTTCTATTTCAGCAGGTGGCTTGGCAAGGCTGTTTTTTCCCTTAAGCTCGTTCACAATTGCCCATGCTTCTTTTGCGGTATTTTTAGCGTTATTCATCCTATTTTGATAGTGCCAGCGTTTAGCTGTTTTGATCACTTGTCTGTAGATTCGTTTATAATTTTTTAAGTAGTTGTCAAAAGCAGGGGTTTTTGTAAATTTTTTTATATAATTAAGTGATTTTAAATTCTTAGAAGCAAGTTTTATGCCCTTTGTTAGCCATGACTTTTTGTGATTTTTTGCTCTTAACTTGCGTAACGGAAAGCACCTGTCAAAAGTATCATACAACAGATAGTGAAATCTTTCGAGTGGATTTTCAGATTCAGATATGCATCCCCAATCAACGGAAGAACAATTAGTTCGAAATGTTTCAAAATTCGCCCCTGAAAAGATTCTTCCATATCTAGATGGTATTTTTATACAGTCCCGAAACAGGCTGAAGCTGGCCAGCAATGCCTCGTGATCGGAGAGGTTTGGAGTAGCGATTACATTACAGTTAACCTTATCTTGATTTATATTTCTGCAGAAGTAATCAATCAAAGATGCAGATTCTCCAGTTTCTCCAGTTGAGATTAGTTGGCAGGTCGCTCATAGGTATGTATACGGAAACTAATTGGGCCAAGTACCGAGCCTTGTAGGTACAGATACCAATTTAACAAAAAAATATGTATTTGGAAGACATAAGTATAATATGAAAACAGATATAAGTTAATGGTAAATCTTCATCAAAGTTTATCAGTTTCAATTTATTAATATTAAAATTAAACTGGGCGAAGGAAGAGTAATTTCTAGTCAGGATCCTGCAAGATTCGTATATTTTACTCTTGTAAAATCTCATTTAGGATTTCTTTTTGAGGGAATTGCTGTTGATTACCTGTTTACACAGGGTTTTCGCTGCAAAAGAGCTCATCATAACCTCTGAACAAAATAGTCACTGCTGTAGGACTATTGAAAAATGTTCAATCACTCCTCAGTCAAGTTAGTGTGGAAGAGATACTTGGGAGGGTTGTGAAAGATCTATCAGCCTATTTTTCTTTGGAAGAAATTTCCAGAAAAGACTCTGATCTCTGGATATTTATTCGTTTTGCAAACTTTGAAAGTTGCTATGATTTGCATTTTAGTGTTTCCTTGTTTGTTTTAAATTTTTTATTTCTATTCTTACAGTATGTATATAAAAACAACACATTTTTTCCAATGTTTTTGATCAAATATATTTTGTAAAAATACTAACAATTAATATTATTAGTGTCAAAAAATGCATGTTATATATTTATACACATTTATATACAATAGATTATTCGTTGTTAAGTTTTTTGTAGCACACAAATCGATTTTTTGGCATGGAACTTTTGATAACATTATTATTAATAACAATTGAATTATTGCAATATTTTGTGCGTAATCAGTGTGGAGATCAATTCCATCTACAAATTTGTTTTAACGCATTTCTATATTGTCAATCACCTTATTTATAATAATTAGAATATAATACATGAAGGTATAAAAAATATTTGGTGCAAAATCAACAATATCAGCTTAAATATCTAGAAAAATATCATGCTTGGATTTTTATTAATATAGAAAAATATCAACAATTATTAATTATTAACGATTAAGGCCAGGTTATGTCAAACAACCATTAGTTTATGTTGGATGAATAAAACGTGCATAATATAAACAAATTATTTTTGAATATTTATTAAAATCAGGCAAAAAATAAGAAAAATAAAATGTTTAGTTTATGGTAATTGAAAAAAGAAAATAACTATGGTGAAAAATCCTAGCCTTAAGTAATATTTAATTAAGTACACATTTAAAGCTTAAGAGCTATTATCAAAAATTCCATATTATAGAGAAACATTTTTTATAAACTATATAAATATATTTAAAACAATTATAATAAAAAATAATAAACATTGTTAAAAGAGGTAAAAATAAATCAATAATAATTGTATATTTTTGTGTAAACATTCTCTATAACTGTACTTAGAAGACCATGATAATTTCAAGTTAATCAGAAAAATTAGTGATAAATTACCTCTTTTAAATCACTAAAATCTAATTTTTCACACACATAAACAGCAGTAGCAGACTTAAGGAGTTTATAAGAGCACTTGAGTTCGATGATATAGAGAGGACTTTTTAGGGTAAGACTATCTACCCTTTAAATAAAAATTAAATAATAAAATTTGTACAAATATTTCACTAATTATTATCGTTAATGAAATGGGTTCGTTTTCCTTTTTTTGGTTATCGTTTTTTTGTGTTCATGAAAATAATAAATAAGGATGATGATCGCTTTGAATGATCTATGGATAAAAAGCAATAAAGCAATTGCAAAATTATTTTTTATTTTTTTTGGGAGGGAGCTGAGGCGCGAATCCACACCTAAAATAAAAAAATATATCATTAATTATTGTTATGGTATAGGTACTTTATAGGATTTCAATCACGGTATATTGCACTTCTATAATTTGTATATACCTCAAAACTTCTATCTATATACAAAATTTCATATTTTTACCAATTATTATTGACCAATAATAAAACAACATATTATGAAAATATTTCAAGCAGAGTTTTAGTTTTATAGAGAATTGAATATAGCAACCTGGGAGTATGTGACAAACCCACAGTTTCGCATAAAAGATGTGTGTCCTCACCTCTACTCCATGAACATTTTGAGCAGTTATATACCACACAAAGGGGTAAAATAATTTCAAACTTCATCAGACGCCAGCGCCGCAGCGTCACCGCCACCATTCGCTTCTTCGGGTTCCGCATTGCCGGTCGGTTCTTTGGCCTTAGAGAGTGCTACTTCAGCTTCCAACGCGCGAATTCGGTTTTCGTGCTTGACAATCATGGCTTTCAGTTTGCGAATTTCGTCAGCAATATCTTGCAAAGCTTTTTCCTGAAAGAATAGACACGTTAAATCTTGTTTTGTCAGTGTTAATTAGAGAAAACTTACCGAAACAGGTGCCCCAACACTGTCACTGCCGCCTTTACTCTTTGGAGGTATTTTATTTAGCAAATTACTTTTCCTGCCAACCGACACCGATTTAGTTTCGGGCGGTTTATATCCGTCTTTTAGGGATATCAATAGCGGCTCGGCATCTTTTCCTTCTACCCATTCTTCAGCCGTTAAAGCAGAATTATCACCCAAAGTATCTGGGTACAAATCTTCTTGGAAAAGTTCAGATTTTCTTGGTACTGTCATGGTAATAATCTAAAAAATAATTTCAATTTAGTACTACCTAGTAATATAAGAAATTCAATGGTTAATTTTTTACTTACTTGGCACAATCCCGAATTATTTAACCTATAAAACCTAGCAATTTCGCACGTAGTTACGTCACAGCCTCTCTTTGGCATCATACCGATACCTCTTTGAGGATCAGGCGTTTGGAAGGTGTTAATGTAATGAACGAATGGCGGTTCTGCAGTGATTTCAAAGTATCTTATAACAGAGTCTCCTTTGCCGCATAAAAATATCAAATTTGTATCAGGATCGTACAAAGGGAACATAACACCGTTAGACGTGTCTAACTCCACCATTACTATTGGTTCTTCTAAACAGTCTGGAGTTCTTAAACTATATTGTCTTTCAGACATTTTGGAGAAGCCCGTTGTAAAGACTAGGCCGTGTCTGAGGAAGATGGCTCTTGTTGCTTTGGAACCTGTGTACAAAATATGACTAGAAAACATATATTTACTGGATATGCCTCAAATACCTTCATGGGCAATTGCTTCGGAAGTCACTTCTCCAGTTCTAGGATTAATAATCCTAATTTTCTTGTCTTTGCATGTTGTGAGCAATTCCGAACCGTCCCAGTTAAAACAGGCACTGTATACAATATCAGGATGACAGTCAATTTCTACTAAAGCTTCTCCAGTACCTTAATAAAATTTTATGTATATACACACTTTGTAAATATTGTTTTTATATTAATGTCTCACCTACGTTCCAAATAACCACATGATTATCACTGCCCGCAGTGAGAAGTACATTCTGAGCAGTAGGATGCCACAGAACCAAGCCCACTCGCCTCTGGTGATACACCAGATCGACGATTGGCTCTGTAAGGGTCTTAACGAGTCCACAATCCGGTATGTGCCATACCTTTGATAAATTCAAATTTATTATTCGCATTCCGAATATTTTCTAAGCTTACCTTTACAACACAGTCTTCTGAGCCACTAGCAATGACGTTATCATTGTGAGGACACCATGCTATGTCTAGGACTGGACCTTTGTGACCTCCTACAAGGGGATGGTCGGCTGGTATTCGACCTGAGATCTAAAAGAGTATTAGTATTAGACGAGGTATTAGAGTATTAGTTTTGAACCTTTAAAGTACCTTTTGACAGCTTGAAGAAGATTCAAAAAAAAAATAGATTTTGCTTAAAACAAGGACTTAACCAAACCAAAGGCAAACCACCTAGGAATTCTTTGCCAAAAATGTTGAGAATTTAGACGAATTTATGGGGAATTTGAAAGAACTCATCGGAATTTATGAGAATTTGGGGAATTTATAGGGAATTCGGAAAATTTTATGGGTAATTTGTGAGGAATTTAAAAGAAATTGTAGTCATGACCTCACTGAGGTTTACATTCTTATTATAACTTGGCCTGCCTCAGGGCACAGTGCTTTCTCCAGTGCTTTTTAACATATACATAAACGGAATATTTTCTATATTAAAAGACGAAAATGTGTTTTGCTTTGCTGATGATGCTGGGGTAGTAATCTGTGGAAACGACTGGGATTCCACAAAGCGAATGGCTGAACAAGCTTTAATGAGAATCAAACAATGGCTGGATAATTCTTTGCTTTCGCTTAATTTAACTAAAACTAAGTTTGTCGCGTTCTCCCTATCATCACGTACTTCACCCACCTTTCAGAGTCTTATAGTGCACAACTCGCAATGTCAAACAATCGACAGGACTTGTAACTGTACTCAATCAATAGAACGTAAAACTAGTATCAAATATTTAGGAGTTATTTTAGATGAAAACTTTACATGGAAAGAACATGTTCAGTCTGTCACAAATAAAGTCAGGAAACTAATATTCAAATTTTATGAACTCAGGCACATATTAACACCGAAAACATTAAAAACAGTATACTTCGCTCTTATCGAATCAATTATAAACTATGGGATAATAGTATGGGGGAATGCGGGAACAACAATATTGCAAAAACTAAAGGTAGCACAAAAATGGGTTATCAAAGTTATGCTTTTTAAAGGTAAATTGTACCCTACAGATTTAGTTTACAAGGATAGCCAGTTGTTTTCACCATTTCAGTTATATATAAAATCCATTATGAGATTCATGTTAAAATACGATTATTATAAAGTAAATGTAAATCATGGAATAAACACAAGATTTGCAACAGCTAACAATGTTATATTACAAAATCCACATCACAATATATGTCGAGATCATATTTATTGAGTAGGACCGAAACTTTACAATATGTTGCCTTTGAATGTTAAAACTAAACCATATTTTAAAGTTAAAGAAGAATTGAACAAATGGATATCTGAAAATGGCATTGCTTTTAACTGTATAACATAAATCAAATTAAAGTTTAGCTTAGTAAGTAATTAAAATATTAATATGATTAATAATAATACTTATGAATAAATGAAAAAACCTCTAAATGGCATATTATAATAGTGAACAGCACACACACAATATCATAGATATCATTGTGTGCTGAAATTTTTTTTTTTTAGCAATTAGTGAGGAATAATTTAAGATTGTAGTAGTTTAAAATTGTATTGGAACGGAACTGATTCTTGAGATATATTTGTTATTGATTAGTTTTATTGGAGTGATAATCTTGTTATACATTTTTTTTTTTGTTAAAATGACTGATTGTTATTCTTGGGAATTGTAAATTTTAACATTTTTTCATTACTCTGTTGCTAAAATAAATAAATAAATAAATAAAAATAAGAAGCAATAACAAATGGGGATTTTAAAAAAAAAAAAAAAAAGCTTTGTGTTGAACGTTGGACATTCATTTTCATTAAAGAAATGCTCCCAAAATTACACTCCATGATTTACAGGTCCAAATTTAAAAAATTCAAAACAATAATGTTTTTGTAGGCTGATTTCCAAAATTCTTCATGCTGTTATTTTCCACTGGAATAATTTGTAATTTTGGGAAAATGAGCTTCTAACCTTCCTCTTTACATGTAAAAAGTTTCAAATTTTTCTGTTCACTAGTTTTCCAGGAAAACTTCCAAATGTCTGAGAGTGTATTTTCAATTAATTCAGTTATTGGGGTTGATTTCCAAGATTTTTCATGTTGTTATTTTCCGCTGGAAAAATTTGAAATTTTGTGAAAATGAGCCTCTGTCCTTCCTCTTCAAATACAAAAAGTTTCAAAATTTTCCCTGCACTTGTTTTCCAGGAAAACTTTAAAATGTGTGAGTCTGTATTTTCGATTAATTCAGTTATTGGTGGTTGATTTCCAAGATTTTTCATGTTGTTATTTTCCACTGGAAAAATTCACAATTTTGGGAAAATGAGCTTCTCCTCTCCCTCTTGACATGCAAAAAGTTTCAAAATTTTCCCTTCACTAGTTTTCTAGGAAAACTTTTGAAATGTGTGAGACTGTATTTTCAATTAATTCAGTTATTGGAGGTTGATTTCCAATATTCTTCATGTTGTTATTTTCTACTGGAAAAATTTGAAATTTTGGGAAAATGAGTCTTTAACCTTTCTACTCTTCACATGCAAAAAGTTCACTAGGTTTCCAGGAAAACTTTGAAATATGTGAGACTCTATTTTCAATTAATTCAGTTATTGGAAGCTGACTTCCAAGATTCTTCATGTTGTTATTTTCCACTGGAAAAATTTGAAATTTTGGGAAAATGAGCCTTCAACCTTTCTACTCTCCACATGCAAAAAGTTTCAAATTTTTGCTTCACTAGTTTTCCAGGAAAACTTTGAAATGTGTAAGACTGTATTTTCAATTGATTTAGTTATTGGAGATTGATTTCCAAGATTCTTCATGTTGTTATTTTCAACTGGAAAAATTTGAAACTTTGGAAAAATGAGCTTCTGACCTTCTTCTTCACATAAAAGAAGTTACAAAATTTTCCCTTAATTAGTTTCCCAGGAAAACTTTGAATTGTGTAAGACTGTATTTTCAAATAATTCAGTTATTGTAGGTTGATTTCCAAGATTCTTCATGTTGCTGTTTTCCACTGGAAAAATTTTAAATTTTTTGAAAATGACCTTCTCACCTTCCTCTTTCAATGCAAAAAGTTTCAACATTTTCCCTTCACTAGTTTTCCAGGAAAAATGTGTGAGACGGTATTATCAACTAATTCAGTTTTTGGAAGTTGATTTCCAAGATTTTTCATGTTGTTATTTGCCACTGGAAAAATTTGAAATTTTGGGAAAATGAGCTTCTCCCCTTCCTCTTCACTTACAAAAAGTTTCAAAATTTTCCTTAATTAGTTTTCCAGGAAAACTTTGAAATGTGTGAGACTGTATTTTCAATTAATTCAGTTATTGGAGTTTGATTCCCAAGATTCTTCATGTTGTTATTTTCCACTGGAAAAATTTGAAATTTTGTGAAAATGAGCCTCTTTACATGCAAAAAGTTTTAAAATTTTCCCTTCACTAGTTTTCCAGGAAAACTTTGAAATGTGTAAGACTGTATTTTCAACTTATTCAGTTTTTGTAGGTTGATTTCCGAGATTCTTCATGTTACTGTTTTCCACTGGAAAAATTTGAAATTTTTTGAAAATGACCTTCTCACCTTCCTCTTTCAATGCAAAAAGTTTGAACATTTTCCCTTCACTAGTTTTCCAGGAAAACTTTGAAATGTGTGAGACTGTATTTTAAATTAATCCAGTTATTGTAGGTTGATTTCCAAGATTCCTCATGTTGTTATTACCTACTTGAAAATTTTGGGAGAATAAGCTCCTAACCTTCCTCATCTCTTGCAAAAATTTTCAAATTTTTTTTTTCACTAGTTTTCCAGGAGAAATTTGAAATGTGTGAGACGGTATTAGCAACTAATTCAGTTTTTGACAGGTTGATTTCCAAGATTCTTCATGTTGATATTTTCCACTAGAAAAATTTGAAATTTTGGGAAAATGAGCTTCTCCCCTTCCTCTTTACATGCAAAAAGTTGCAAAATTTTTCCTTCACTAGTTTTCCAGGAAACCTTTGCAATGTGTGAGACTGTATCTTCAACTAATTCAGTTTTTGTAGGATGATTTCCAAGATTCTTCATGTTGCTGTTTTCCACTAGAAAAATTTGAAATTTTGGGAAAATGAGCTTCTCCCCTTCCTCTTTACATGCAAAAAGTTTCAAAATTTTCCCTTCACTAGTTTTCTAGCAAAACTTTCAAATGTGTGAGACTGTATGTATTTTCAATTAATTCAGTTATTGCAGGTTGATTTCAAAGATTCTTCATGTTGTTATTTTCCACTGAAAAGATTTGAAATTTTGTGGAAATGAGCCTCTGACCTTCCTCTTCACATGCAAAAAGTTTCAAAATTTTCCCTCCACTAGTTTTTCAGGAAAACTTTGAAATGTGTGAGACTGTATTTTCAACTTATTCAGTTTTTGTAGGTTGATTTCCAAGGTTCTTCATGTTGCTGTTTTCCACTGGAAAAAATTTAAATTTTTTGAAAATGACCTTCTCACCTTTCTCTTTACATGCAAAAAGTTTCAACATTTTCCCTTCACTAGTTTTCCAGGAAAACTTTGAAATGTGTGAGGCTGTATTTTCAATTAATTCAGTTGTAGGTTGATTTCCAAAATTCCTCATGTTATTATCTACTTGAAAATTTTGGGAGAATCAGCTCCTAATTTTCCTCATCTCTTGCAAAAATTTTCAAATATTTCCTTTAACTAAACGAAATAAAAATAGAAAAAATAAATTTCTTATCATGAGCAATTATGGGGATTTTTAGGGAATTTGTAAGAGACATTTTTCGGAAATTTGAGAGGAGTTTGGAGGAATTTGCGGGAATTTGGAGGAATTTGCAGGGAATTTAGACGAATTTGTGGGGTTTTTGCAGAAATTTGTGACGGGGTATTTGGAGGAATTTGTGATGGGGTATCTGGAGGAATTTGTGGGGAATTTGGAGGAATTTGCAGGAATTTTGAGGAATTATGCGTAAAAAATTCCCCTTTGAGGAATTGTTTGCACAAATTCTTGGATGGTGGTTTACCCCTTGGCTAGGAATCTCATTCATTCATCAATTTAAAGCCTAATAAGATTCCTATCAATTTATATGACTCCAAATTGCCAGAGCAATACCAAAACCAATATATGTACTGACGTTGAGTTCTTCTTAGAGTAGATATTTGTCTCTAGACGCTATAAACTTTTATAGGGGCCTATAGATATTATTTTTTAAAGTAGTTTATTCATTGTAGAATAAAAATAAAGTTCATCATCAGCAGCTTTCTGCAGCACATTCTGATGGTTCACGAAAATGTCTACAATCTCTCCATCTACAAGCTATACAGACGTTGAAATGTTAAAAAACCTGCACCTAAATCTTCCATTATTATATTTGAAAATAAAAATAAGTAGGTAACTTGCAGCGCATAACATAATCCACTTTCGAAATTTGGGCCACACGGGAATTAAAAATAAAATTATTCGCGAAATAGGTAGATGTTGCGATGCCGAGCGTCAGCATTTTATTTTTGAGGCAAAACAATCTAAATTTAATTTTTTGGCCCCAGTCCAGCCGTCCAGCCCCCCATCATCAGCAAGAAACGTAATCGTGTGTGCCCACATTTTGATATTTTTGGGAAGGGCTATTTTTGCATACTCGTCTCACCAATGAATATTTGTAAAAACTTGAGATTTGAATAAATTTAGAAACAAAATAATGACTTGAGCAAATTCTTGTGTAGAGTTATCAGAGACAAAAGATACACACATAAAAAGGGGACCAAAATTGCAGTGAATCTTTCTATGAAGCCTTGCGGATTATTTATTTAAGGACAAGGCACTCATTCTTTGGTATATGGTATATGGCTTCTCTTGGTTATACTTAAACTCTTGACAATAATAATTGAGTACAGTAGATGAATATTGATTAGCAGTAATAGGCGGAAATCGCAATTGTACAGGGTGTAAATAATGCTAAATAAAAATAATTCAAGCAAGATTTGAACCTTGCCTGCAATGCAAAAGCAACGGTACACGTCAGGTAAAACACACAAAGAAATGATTGTTATGCATATCAATTATACAAGTTGGAATGTTAATATTATCGTCATTATCATTTATGGTAAATGATAAATAAAATATTTTACTACAATATTTTTCCCGTGACTGATGATAAGACTAAATTAAAATAAATTCTAGTTAGTAATAAATAAGTAATTATAAATTCTTACCTTGTTGCCCTGTGGTAAAACAATAAAGGCACCGCCGCCAGCGCTTTCGACAATAATAGCGATAAACTTGGGGTTGACAGCGCAAAAAGTTGAGTCCCAGGAACTTTTCGATACCCTGATGTTGTCGTAGCATTGTTCGCGTTTGAGGGCTTGACCGTAGACGTGCCTGAATTTGGAATTTCTCACTACACGAAATGACATCTAGAATAAGAGATAGTCTAGTCAATTAAAAAAGTTAAATCCAAACTTTGGAAATAAGTACCTAATTGCTTTTGAGGGTACTTTTTTATTTAATGACCACTATACTGATTGTGAACATTCCTTTTTAGCGTTTAAGATAAGTATTTTAAAACTGTGATAGTCGTTAGGTTTAGTAATGTGACCTATTTCTGAATTCCACAGGTTGCCTATTCATTTTATTTACTTTTATGTGTTTTGGTTAAAGGTGATTATACCTTTATCACCATAATAAACATATTAAATTAAACAGTTAATGCTAAAATTATTAAGGATAAAACATTAAAATAAAAAAAAAAATAGGTATCGGAATATCAGATATTTTCAACAAAATAGACTTGAAGAATGCGACTTTTCAGAGAATCATACGAAAAAAAAAACAGGATGTTCGGTGTTCCAGTTTCAAAACAGTTCATCCATGGCGCAAATATTTGGTTTCTGGTTCAAATGATTTTTTGATACAATTTTTGAATTCTCCAGTAAAAAAATACAAGCCCCTGTTCAGTCCACATTGGTACACCCTGTACATGAAAAATTATGAGAGAGAATAGTACATTAAAATACAAGTTTCATAAGACGTCATTTTATCGCACGAGCCCTATATTAGAAAACGAGCCGGAGGCGAGTTTTCTAAAGGGCGAGTGCGATAAAATGACTTATGAAACGAATATTTTATACTATTTTTTCTATTTTGGTATTGTTTAATTGAAAAAAACAAACTTTTCTTGGACATTTTATTCTCATATTTCCTGATTTCATATGTTTAGGTTGGCAACACTACATGCCAAATATAGAAATCTTCTATTATTTTTTATCGCGAATGACAGTTCAATGGCCATCAATCAGCTAGTGTTACCAACCTCCGATAAGTAAAAAAGGAGTGTCACAAAGAGCTTCTTTTCGAAACTACTTTTAGTGTCGAAAAGACTTCGATATGACACCAAAATAGAAAAAAAAAAGTTATAGTTCACATAAGAAAGTAGAAGTTTACATATTATGGATATCTCAAATTCTCAAACTTACAGATCACAATCTGCAAACAAACAATACAGTACACTGGGGCTTGGCTAAAAAACGTTCTAAATTGGTAACGATTGTCACAAATTACATTTTTACTTAAAAATTTCCTATTTCATCTGGCAGTAAATTGTATATGCTTTAGGACGAAAATAATGTATGTTAGTATCTTAGATTAACATTATTGGTAGTTTAATTTGAATTCAATATAAATTTATTTAATAGAAATGGTGACTTTTGTATAAAGCACTAGGATGATCAATACTAGAAAGCTTTCGGAAGAAAATTACCATCAGTACCAGCATCAAAATAAAAGTTCAAAAGTTGTACAATCACAGCAAGAAAACAATATGAACAAAGTCTTTTGAAAAACACCTTTCCTTTTCCTATGTTAACTCTAAACTTAACTCTGAACACACTCACTTCAGTATTGTTGACAAAACTCTAGTCCCATTTGAATCTGACCAGGAGGTTGCAGTTTTGCACAGAAATTCCAGAGTGTTTTTACTAAACTCAGCTCTACAGATATTAGATTATCCCTTCCAGGTGAATTCTACTCCAGAACAGAAATCAGCACCATGAATTTCTCCCCAGAAAAGTAGAAATCGCCATCAAGTCCCTAAGGATGAACTCTGGAGCCCTGGACTTAATGAGATCCCTCCTATATTTCTTAAAAATTGTTCGCATACTCTAAAGGGGCCTTAGGCAGCACTTATGAATGACATAACATCCAGGCAGGAGAATTTACACAACCTTGGAAAAAAAGAGTTGTTATACCCGAGGTTATACCTGCAACCGAAAAGGGCAACAAAATGCTAGTAGAAAATTACAGATCAGTCAGCCTGAACAGCGCTCTTTATAGATGTATGGAAAAAATCATTGCTAACGAAATCGCAAGCTTTTTCTTTAAAGCTCATATTGTACCACTCCAACAACATGGTTTTATCTCCATCCCCATCTACTTCTACGAAACTCCCAACCAGACTCAATATGTGGACAAAGGCGGATGATGAGAATGATGTAAATCTTCTTGACTTTGAAAAAGCACTTGATAAGATACAATATATACAAGCTATCTCATTTTGGAGTCAGGGGCGATTTACTTCGACTTCTTGAGGAATTCCTTACTGGACGTACCTTTCAGTTGCATACTCTGTACACAGCCGCGTACCACAAGGCTCAGTCTTGATACCCTGGCTTTTCTTGGTGTATCTTATCTGGTATGACATACCAAAAACTGAAGACTAAATATGAATTGTTTGCAGATGACACAAGCCTATCCTGCAATTCACTACTACATTGTGCAGACCCCCAGGAAGACCTGTACACCATAAAAGAGTGGACAATGTTTTGGTAAATGCCATTGAATGACCTCAAGTGCCCAGTTCTACATATCGACCAGAATAACCCTTAACATGATAACCTCCTCCAACAAATGTCAATCACTAAACTGAACTTTAAAAGACAAGAAAACAAGGGGAGACCTTATTGAAACTTACAAAATACTGAATGGTCACTGCAAGTGACATTAACATCTTCCTTGCCACTCGAGTTGCCACTTATGCCACCAATATTAGATGACATAATCAGAAACTTGAGAAGAAAGAAAAATTTCTTGACAAACAGAGTAGGTAGTGGTTTATCAGTGGAATAGACTAATGGCCGTTTGCACCGACTGTTTTAAGGGAGGCTTAACGAAAAGTATACCTTAAAATCACATTTTACATGTGAAAATGTCATGTTAAGTCTTCATCAAAATAGTCGGTGCAAACCTCAGACTGTGCAAACGGCCATCAGTCATGAAACAATTAGTGCAACATTAGTAAATCAATTTAAAAACCGTTTGGATCCAGAAATGAGGGTCTGGTACAATACATTTATGCATTATTATGGAAAATAATTTGAAGTGAGCCACCAATGCTATTTGTGTTTTGTACCTACCTGACTAGTTTTTTAAAGATAGTTACACTTTTCTATGGATAGTTGTCATTATATTTGTCGCGATATTATTTTTTGGTGTGTGCCTCGTGTGTATCAATTAAAGTTTCTTCGCTATTAGTTGGAGCTAAACCTTCCCCTTAAATTACATCAGGTTATGAGCCCAGGTGTCGTTTTATCAGAATCAGAATATCTTTATTTTAAAGAAACATACAAAAGAGAATATAAAAAACATCAATTGTTGTTTAACTAAATAGTGTCAAAATATATACCTAAAGTTAAATTTAAATTTGAGTTTTACAACGATAAGTATTCTCCAAATAAGAGTTGAAAAAAGAACATTTTAAAATTTTCTCCAGAATATAATTTGAATATTTATAAAGTAAAGTAAATTGTGCTTACAGTCAAACAATAAAAAATAAGTCATTAGTACATACATAGCTAAAAAGAACAGAACAGTTAAAAAGACAGGTACTTTGTATAAAATAGAAAAAAAAGACAATTTTACAGTTTAAAATATAAAATATCACAAAAAGTTATCACAAGTCTGGCCAACAGTTAAAAGGAACAAAATATTTACCACTAGAGAGGAACAAAATAGTTATCAGTTATTACTAGGTAGGTACATCTTAATTTAGAAATTCATTAATCGTGTAAGGCTCTATTGAAACAAGATGCTGAAATAAAAGTTTTTTAAAACAGTTTTCTGTTATTTTTAATTTTAATTTTTGGGGAAGAAAGTTGAAGAGTTTTATACACATGTAGGTGGGTCCAGTCTCAGTGAGAGCGAGCCTGGGCACTGGATAGTTTAAAACAATTGACCTGGTGTTATGTTTATGTTCTAGGAGATAGTTGAGAAACTTATCAAAGTTTCTATGTAGGAACATAGGACATTCATAGATTTGAATTGTTCTCTGCAAGACTCTCTGTAGGACAAGTTAAGAATTTGTCTCGGTACACATTTTTGCATAACAAACGCATCTCCTTCGCATCCTGCTCTACCCGAGAATATTATTCCATAGCGTGCAAAAGAATAGAAAGTGGCATAGTAGACAAATAATAGCGATTTTCTGTCTAGGAATTGTTTTAGAACACGGAAAGAATAGCAGGTGCTACTAAGTTTTTTAGAAAGAGCTTGATTTTGTTTTTTCCATTTTAGGTGGGGATCTATTTCTATTCCCAGAAATTTCACACTATCTGAAAGCCTTACATTTTGGGAAGAAATATTTAAACCTGTTGGATGGTTATTAGCTGACTGAAGGGTATGAAAACTCATATCATTCGCGAGACCCTCAGAACTTTGTTTTTGGATAATTTTGTAACCATGAATCAGCTCCCGCCGATAGAACGCCTTAAAGGACGTGATAATTACGATTCGCGGTACAGACTTATTTGGAACACAAAGAATTATGGAATGCAGTTGAAGGTTCAGAGAATGATACAAAAAAGGTGACTAAAGCCCGTTTAAAAATAATACTTTGGTTGTTCCGGTGCACTATGTTCATGTGCAGTCATCCAAAACAGCAAAAGAAGCTTGGGACAATCTTAAAAAGACTTTTGAAGATTCAGGATTAACGCGTCGTGTAGGACTTTTGCGTATTCTTATAACAACAACTTTGGAAGGTTGCAGAATATGTGAACACGATCATAACTACAGCCAACAAATTAGCAGCTGTTGGAATGCAGGTCAGTGATGAATGGGTTAAGAAAATAAGTCTTCAGGGAATAATCAGAAAAAGGGCCAAGGTTTAAAAGGTCCCAGATGTTATTCTTGCAACAAGTATGGCCATTTTGCATCTAATTGTGATCAAAATAAGAATAAGAGAAATCAGAATGTAGCCTTGTTTTCAGCTTTTTCTGTAGAATGTAGAAGAAAAGTAGATTCTTGGTATCTTGATTCAGGGTGTTCAGCTCACATGACACAAAATAAACATATATTTCATACGGAAAGAGAAGCTGCAAATTTAACAATAACTACTGCAAATAATGAAGAAATGTCTCAGACAGTA